CGGTTGTGGCGACACCTCCGCTGCTGGCGGCGGCGGCGGTGGTGACACCGCCGCTGCTGGCGGCGGCGGCGAAGGCGACACCACCGCTGCTGGCGGCGGCGGCGGCGGTGACACCTCCGCTGCTGGCGGCGGCGGCGGTGGTGACACCTCCGCTGCTGGCGGCGGCGGCGGTGGTGACACCTCCGCTGCTGGCGGCGGCGGTTGTGGCGACACCTCCGCTGCTGGCGGCGGCGGCGGTGGTGATACCTCCGCTGCTAGCGGCGGCGAAGGCGACACCACCGCTGCTGGCGGCGGCGGCGGTTTTGGTGACACCTCTGCTGCTGGCGGCGGCGGCGGCGGTGACACCTCCGCTGCTGGCGGCGGTGGCGGTGGTGACACCTCCGCTGCTGGCGGCGGCGGTTTTGGTGACACCTCTGCTGCTGGCGGCGGCGGCGGCGGTGACACCTCCGCTGCTGGCTGCGGTGGCGGTGGCGACACCTCCGCTGCTAGCGGCGGCGGCGGCGGTGACATCTCCGATGCTCGCAGTAGTGCCTCTACCGGCGGTTGTGGTACCTGCACTACTGCCATCTCCGGCTCTCCCACCTCTTTCGGGAGGGCTGCCGTACTCGCTGCACCATTCTCATCCTCACTCCGCACCGCCATTACGAGTCTCCCGTAATGGAGCGTCTGAACCGCCTGTAGAACCTGCACAGGGCTCGTCACAGCGAATATGCAACATACACGCACACACTCACAGAGTGGGCTAACAGCAGTCATATTGCCGATAGTGCGGCACGGTTGCGCTTCTACTGAGCAGTCCCAAGGTGCAGAGCAGCAGCTCCATCCATACATCCATACTGCAGGTGAATGGCAGAAGTTAAGGCCTGAGCTTCCGAGTTCAAATCCGCCTGCCGACCCCTCAGTGTGTGACGGGTGTTGTATTGGGAGGTGGCCCCCCATCATATGGACGGTGTAGGACGTGATAATATCAACTTGCGAGCTGACCAGGTACTAAATAGTGGCGCCGTTGATCTGCTAGATTTGGTTGGATTCTGGAGGTGAGTTGCTGAACCCAACGAATGCATTCTGAAGTCGGATGGGTTCAATGGATTAGGGTGCCCCTCTCGCAGGGGAGAGCAGGGAACTGCCTCCAAGGGAAAGGGGGCCGCTGGTGAAGCTATACCACCCAGTAACAACATCATACATACATACGTCCGCACGCACGCACACCACTGCATGCTCCACTGATGCGCGCACTGACCACCCGTGCATCGGACAGATAGCGGCTCTGGTGTTGGCAACATCTCTTATCGATCCACGTGGCTGTCCATGTGGACCAGCCGGGCGTGTCGTACGTGCTAACGCTCTCACATCTGCTACTGCGACCTGTCGTAGCCGGTGAAAACGCCTGTAGCAGCTGACCGCTGAAAAGGTCTCTCGAGTTGCTGGTGGTCGCGCTCTGCGCGTATTTATAGCGCCGTACTGTGTACCAGCTGCTACAACGCCCCTCTCAAGATGCTGGCGAAGTACGTTATTAGCGCGTATCTGTAGACGATATATGTGTGCCGTACTATGTACAGGTGCTACTATTGCAAAACAGGCCTCACCATGGTTTTTGCGGCGTCCTCGTTCACGGCCGGATGGACGAGCACGCGGGCCGCCAGGTTCCGCTGACACTCGGCTTCGATGGCCTTGAAACACGCTTCTGCCCCGCGGCCTGCCTTTTTAAAATATGGTTCCCCTTGGAAGCCCAGCCTCTGATGCCAATACTCCATCACAGCCTTATCGACCACGGAGACCGCTACGTACTGGGTTAAGGGGCGATCATCATCCGCAAAATCATCATCAGCCCGCAGCAGGCATGCAGGTATGAGAGTGTGTGCGTGTATGTGTGTGTGTACTATTAAGAAGCGCGATAACTGCTAGTTTGAAGGACAGGGGTACAAACAGAATACAGACAGGTGTCGCAGTGGAACATACATACAGTACGGGTATTCATGTCGTGAGACATGAAAACGCAAATACGATCACAAATATGAGCACATACATGCACGGCTACCAATATGCCACTCGGTTGCCAGTACGTAAAACACCACATACAGTTATATGCAACCGGGGCGCACATAGGACATACATACGTACATACATGCATAGGATGTACATATGCATTCAATTCGCTGCTGGTGGCATGTTGGGGCGTTCTGTTTGCCTTCGACGATAATTTAAGCCAGGTATATGCCTACCTACCCACCCACCTACCTACCTACCTACCTACCCACCTACCTACCTACCCACCTACCTACCCACCTACCTACCTACCCACCTACCTACCCACCTACATATGTACATGCTTGTGCACATGCGTGCTCCTCACGCACCTGGTGGTTGGCCGCCACCGCGGCCTCCTGGATGATCCGGGTCAGCAGCCGCCCCAAGCCCATTCGGCGATGACCTTCAGCGGTCGCCTGGAAGAGGATCTGTTCGCCATGGGCCCATGCAGTGCCAGGCAGCAGCAGCAGCACGGCCCAGATGGAGGTGGAGCAGTGAGGGAGCAATGAACGAGGGAAATGATTGCAGGAGGACGATAAAAGCACTGCAGAAGTGGCCGTGCATACGTTGCATTGTTCGATATCTGGGTAGAACCCCCCGCACTGTCGGGAGCTTGAGATGATCATGCCATACAGCACTATCCACCATTACCACACTGTACTACGCCATACGAACTGGAGGTCCAAGGCGGTGATCCTGCCTTCTAGGATCCATCCTCACCCATTCACCCGAACATCCGTAGAGACAGAGGGTTCAACAATCGCCACCAATCCAGCGTGCGAATCTCGATCCATTAACCGAGTTCTCAACTCTGCATCTCAGCAGCTAGCCATAATCTCACGCTCCCGACAATGTCGGGGGTCTCCCCAGGGATCGAATCCAGAACTGACTAAGACAGTGGTGTCAACCAGACCAGAGAGATTATGGCTGCTGCTGCTGTTGCTGCTGCGATATGGGGTTGAGAACTCGGTTAATGGATCGAGATTCGCACGCTGGATTGGTGGCGATTGTTGAACCCTCTGTCTCTACGGATGTTCGGGTGAATGGGTGAGGATGGATCCTAGAAGGCAGGATCACCGCCTTGGACCTCCAGTTCGTATGGCGTAGTACAGTGTGGTAATGGTGGATAGTGCTGTGTGGTGATTAATCGTAGAAATGACAATGTGTCCAAGTGGCCCAGAAGCCTCCCACCCTGTAACAACAACATTATGTATGTCGTGTTGTGTTGTTACTTAACTTGTGTACTCGCATATGTATGATAGATGTGTTTTATAATAAGGTGGAGGAGCCTATACATCATATCGACTCTATCCAAATATAGTATAATGCAATGAATTGGTGTATGTTGTGCGTGTGCGTTTGCATATGTGTGGCGTGTGAGGTGGCGTGGGGGTACGGGTGGCGTGGGGATAAATCACATAGCGCGGAAACATTCACACCTGTACATGAGATCCATGCTTTGCCCCCGCCCCGGGAAGATGGAGGTGTGTGGTTGTCGCACAAACGAGTTTGCTTCCAACCCACACCCCGGCGGCCAGGCAGGCGCCCCTGCGTGCACAGTATGAGAGATGCACCGTACAGCACGGCGGTTGAAGGTAAAAGACGTGTGGGTATAGGATGACACTAGGTGCAGGCTGAACATAGCGACCGGCTATTCATGTTATTGTGTGAACTCGAGTGCTTTTAGGATAGTGTGTCTGACAGCAGTCGGATCAGCACCTTAGTATGTCAGTAGCTGGTGTAGTGTTGACATTTATGAAGTACTTGACAGTCAGTCCTACGCACTTCTAACATGTGTACTGTATATTTATTTACAGTACTTCGCAAATACTTGGTACCCAGTGCTTGGTATAATATTACTAATAATAAATGTTACTTAATATTTGTTTGAAGGACTTAGTATTCGGTACTAAGCGCTTCGAGGGCAGTTAGTACCGTAGTGACAGGAAATGTTCGTGATTTTATTGTTTCAGACACCCTCAAAATTACACCCGAAATTATTGGTGAAACTGTTGAATTCGTGAGAAGCCAACGCAACCGGAGCAACGGTGCCTGCAATATTCGTTAATGGGTCCGACTCAGAACGCCGATTGACGCAAAAGCTGGCCAATGCATGCACGGTTATTTAGGAGCGGCAAAACCAGCTCTATCCGTAGCTGGGGCGCCGCGAGCAAGTGTGAAGAGTCCGCATTGAAGGAGGCTTTGTTGCTTAGGCCGCTTGGCCCTCGGATCCATGTCCGTTCAATTACTATGGATGTATATATGGCCAGGAAAGTGGAATTCGACGAGTAATTACTGTGTTGAAGGCATTATACGATTTGGCTTCGAAGCACACATATATTCGTGACGACCATCGCCTGGAACAGCTTGTAATTTATATGTGACATAATTTCGTGATGCCGTAACGAAATTAAAATCACGAACATTTCCTGTCACTACGGTATGTAACATGATACTAAGTGATCAGTAGATCTACTAAGCGGCCTATTAAGAATGTTACCAAGTAGCTATGAAGGACATATGAATTGGGTGGCACTAAGATGATATTAAGATGATATTAAGAAGATGCTAAGTGGTGGCGTTCCACGAGTGCATACAATGCATGTATACACCTGCAGTGCGATGATGAACACCAGCGCCACACACGCTTATCCGTGGCGAGTAGTTTTACACCCAACAGAGCCAGCAGCATAACGCATTAAATGCATCACATAAGGCACAAAGAATTACACAGGTGACTAGCATCTGTCACTTGCCATCCCAGCCATAAGCCTCATGGATTCCGACATCTCACCGGTCGGTACTGCCACCGTGTTTATGGTATACGGCGGCTTCAATCTGTACGGCACAAACAGATCAAAACGGGATAGATGTGGTAAGCATGCATGCATCCAGCCTGGCAGGCTGCCGCTATCGTACCGCATCACATCACCGAACAGCCTGAGTAAGATAAGGATAAGCAGACAGGTAGGTAGAAAGACTTTGGCACGAAATGCCGAAGCTGTGCGACTTAGCAGCTAAGCCGAAACTCAGTATTAACAGTATTATCTGTATATTTTTTACCGTCTGTAGGTAAAATCGTGCCCATGTATCGGGCAGGATCTATAGACGATGAAAAGTTTGAAGATGAAGTACGGCCGTACAAAATAAACGTCCCTCCGCCGTTCCCGGTTATCTCGGCGAGCTCGGGTTCTTGTACAGCGGGTGGTGCTGCACAAGCAGTGATGGTCACCGCACCTGTGAGGCGTTGTCGCGGAACGCCTTTTTCAGCAGGTTGCACGCCTGCCGGTACAGCTGCCCGTCAGCAGCGCCTTTCCCCCCATATGGCGGAAGAATCCGCGCAACGATAGGACCCTACGAAAAAGTAAAAACGCTTTCTCGTCAGAGATCAATTTAAACAGGGACGCCATGACGGTAGGAAAGCGCCGGGGGGGATGCGCAGGTCATGCAGCCTGCTGGGGAAAGGTCATGCCACAGAGAAGCGAAAAACTGAAGACGGCACCGGACATACGTGCTCAGTCTCGGCGACCAACTTCACCAGCCGTAGCCTTAGGAGTTCCTCTTCAACGATGTTCTGTCTTCTAATCCTTTTCGACCGTCTGTACATTTTTGCATCAGCCAAAGCTTTGTAAATCCAAAGACTAACGTGAATTAGGCGACTCTCGTGGATCAAGTGACTCACGTTAGGAGGGCGTGATGACGACGCAGCCAAGTTGCGCCAAATCGACCTTTTCGGATTTGCCAGCGACCTAGGTACGGCAGCTTGATCGACGGAATGGCCGTCTTAGTTGTTGCGCATGAAAACTCGTGTGAGTTCTAGCAAAGACCATGAAGTGGCTTGCTAGCACGAATTATTTTCTATCAGTGTTATACCGCGTCTTTACAACCGCGGCCTTACGCAATGGGAAAGAGATCCACTGCTGCCGGGCGGATGCGTTGTTCACGCGCCGTTGTTCATGCATTGCTGATCCCATCCGCTTCCTTAAGCCCCTGCGCTCTTGCGCTGTCCTTTCGGTTGAAATGATGTTATTAAAGCCATCGCAAGCACGTTACAGGCGGAACCGTCAGCGCCTGCCTACATGCTACTCGCTACTCTTGTCCTTCGGCAAATAGAGGTTCACTGGTATGGACAAACGTATGTATGTATGTATTTTGCTGGTTGCAAGGTAAAACAACCCCCTGTATATACGGCGCGGCACACAGCCGCTGGGATACCGTTGCCTTGCATCCTCGCAGCCGCACAGGTCCATCCACAGTGATCGAACAGATCGCATCCGTAACAATTGCATCCCGCCATCCCAGCTATACCTCCGCACTTTTCTCGTGCTGCGCACACGTGTACGTGTGTATGTATGTGTGCACCTGCCAACAGTGCAGGTGCGACATCCTAACAACCGTATGTGCAAAGGTTACGACCCGGCAGGTCCTCGCTTGCCAAAGAATGGGTGGGCCACGACGGTAGCCTCACGGCGGTTCACGCACCAAACAGCGAGGACGAGAGTACCCCTGCTCACAGCGCATGCATTCTGACAAAGCGTTCGTATCCAATCACACACGACCACCCATGGCTGAATCCTCCCAGGCCATCTGCACCAGCACACACCTTACTTAGGCCCAGTTCAAGCGTTCGAGCACGGTTCGTCCAGCTCAGCAAACGACCAAAGAACCATGCTTGTAAAAGTGAAGGTAATCATCAAGCGGACAGGTAAGAAGTAGGGTACATCTCCGCGCGTAGCTTCCAAAACGTGGTTGTTGAGTCTCGCACGCCACCCGCGAACAATGTGAACTTAAGTGTTCCAGCCACGCGTCCTCTTGCCCTCACACGTCCCAGGTCACGAGTCGCACGCCCCGTCCAAACAAACAATCCACCAGGTAATGCAAAATTAGCAATAAGTCCGAGACACGACCCGCATGGACGCAACAACCCCATCCCGGCTAGATAGCATGAGATGTCACAGAGCGCCTCGCCTTGCCGGTAAGAATCCGAAGAGCTGCAGGAATTCCGCACCCACGCTTCCAGCCGCGGCACCAGCGAGCCCCCCCACCTGCAGACGCTAGTATGGTTGGCCCCCAGCGCATTGCAGCTGTGTTGCTGCCCAGGGCGATGCATGCTTGATTGCTCGTGCTCTGCGTTGGCTTTCGCAACCACACGCTCGCTCTCGCACTGAACCGCGGCTGCTTGTGCACGTATGTACATTTGCTGGGTTTTGGGTATCACAGCAGGCCGTTTCTGCCTCCGTTTGTTAGTCTGCATGCACCTCTTCACAGCGCGTCGACGCAATGTCACAGGACCAAACAATCCAAGGGGTTGAAGATCGGTCTAGTTTTTAAGTGTGCCTTATGCACAGCACGCAGCAAGCCCCCTCAGCCAAAGACGATACTGCTCTTGACGTGCTCGGGGAAATGCATCCGCCGACCGATGCGGGGGGAAGCCGTCGCGTCCGCGGGCGTGGCGGGCGAGGGAGACGACGGCACGTTCATGTCCCCGTACAGCGCCACATTCTTGATGCCCTGCAAAGATGTACACGCGCGGCAGCAGCACAGCACAGCACAGAGCACCGCATCTACAAGTAGCACGTACAAGTAGCAGAAAGGGCATGGGTCTGAGTCCCTAGGGTTTGCCAGCATTATGCTGCTTCGGGTTGACGGCAGCCAGCCCTCGCTCAGGTCGCATTTTAAGAAGCTCCCGACCCCGACTCTGCCAGTTAGCAAATGCTCCCTCTTCCATTTCACTGTTGAATCCCCCCTCGTTCCCACCTCTGAATCCATGGAACCCATCACCACCACCATCTGCTATTTCTTTTTTCCTCCTCTGCAGGAGGCTCCATCTCTCCCCCCTTCATCTCACCTTCAGGCCCTGCTCGACCAGCTTAGCCTTCACAGCGACCGGGTCCTTCACGTCCACGTCAAAGTCATCCGTCACCTCGACCACTTTCTGAGCGGTGTACAGCGGGATGCACAGGCGGGCTGTTAAATGAGAACAGAGGAAGTGATTTCGGATGAGGAGAGCCCTATGCGCAAAACAACCCGAAACAAACGGAACAGCGTCCTGAGCTGCCATGAAAAACAATTTCTGGGTTGTTATGTTGAAAAGCATTAGGATCAGGAACAACAAAACGGGTAAGGATTGAGGAACAACAAACAGGTACCGACTGCAGAAAGCCCAACAGGTATGTGGGAGTTGCGTTGGGTCTTTCGGAGGCGCGAGTAACTATGTAACGAAGCCTAACCAGGCTCTGGTGGGAGGGGACATCGCAGACAGCAAAGCAAAAACCCGTAGCGGCCTATCCATACAAAATGCCCGCCAGCAGACACACCACCCAGAGACCACGCAAAGCATTCAGGATGTTGTTAGGTGCAACCCACAAACCATCTGTGTACTCTAAAATTAGGGTACAGGCTCCATGCACCCTCTCCTTTAGGGGCCTTGTGCCAGTTCCGTTCCTTACCTGCGAATCGTCCTCAAGCACCACCAACACCCGTTTGCAGCTCGTATTAGCGCACCAGCCCTCACCGCCGCTGACGTGCCACACGTTGCGCATCATGAGCTCAAAGTAGTCGTCACCGCTTTTGCCCTCGTCAATGTTGGCGGAGATCAAGCTGAAAGGCCACAGCACGTGTAGGAGGCGAGCACGAGGATATAGGGCAGGGAACCGGGACGGACAGCAACACAGGATAAGAGCTTCTGCGTCGTCATCGTCATACATCATCATCATCATCATCGTCGTCATCATCGTCGTCATCATCATCATCATCATCGTCGTCATGGCAAATCATTTGCCACGGGGCTCCCGGGGAGGTAACAGGGCGTGACGACCTCGTGGGTGGGGGTGAGGGAGCCTCTGCTCGATTTTCCATATGGACCGCGCAACAGAGGCGCAGCCGTGAACTCAACATCCATAACAAACAGTGTTGTATCCCCCCTGCTGCTGTTGCTGTTGCTGCTGCTGCTGCTGTTCAGTTTTACAAACATGCAAGGCCGTTGCTGACAGGTACTCACGTATAGTAGGTCTTGAACTCGTTAAAGTCCACCTGACCGTCCCCCTTGGCGCCACCGCCCGCCGACTCAAACACGCCGAGGAACTCCAACAGAACCTGTAGACATAACACGCGAGCACTGCAGCCTTTTAGGCAGTCCAGGCTTTTACCCCAAGATGTACAACACAACGCATTTGTATGTCTGTATGTCTGCATGTAATGTTGTATGCGTTGTGTGACGACACCAACGCATAAATCCGTGGCAAGCCAGCCGTCATCATGGCTTCGGGAGCTACCATGCCCGATATGGCTCAGGTGACGTCGCAATGTCGAGCAAGGTGATCTGAGTGCATCGCAACATGCGAACACTAACTTCAGCTCCCAACAACAAATGGCTTAGGATTCAGATTCCTATGCCACACAGCCTGTCAAATAGCGCCAAGGGCGCCTGTTGAAGAGCAGTGTGGCACCTTACATGATGGTCACCTCTGGAGGTCAGAAGATCATGGTCGGCGTAGCTGATGATGATAACTCACACCTATACGCGTATGACCCACATGCGAGAGCTCCTCCTCCTTGCGTGCGAGCTCAAGCTCTCAAACCCTTGTTTAATTCCTATCCAGCCTACGTGCCCTGCCGCCTTCTCCAATCACAAGATTATTGTTTGTAGCTCGTTGCCTCTAGATCGCGCATGTCCGCGCTCACAGCTCCCTACCCACCACTTCCCTACCCCAGTCCCACCATGCGCTGGGACTTGACCCCCGCGATGACGTCCGGGTGACGCGATGCGTCGTAGCGGCGCTCCAGGTCCGCCAGAGACACCTTGCCGTCGCCAGTGGTATCCAGAACCTGAGAGGGGAGGCAATAATACAAACCCGATTCAGACTCAGTACTGTTGATGAACAACTGAGGGTATTCACGACGTAACACTCTACAACTCAACGACAGCCGATCATCAGTAAACCGTGTTCGCAAACTACTAAACAAGAGCAAGCTCGATATAAATAAAATCATTACAAGGACACAGTGCATATGTAGGGGCATGCACGCAGCGGGTAAACCACCTGCTCACCGGAAGCGGGGAGCAACAGGTATAAGGGGCTGGTAAGGGAGAGGGGTGTCGTTGTGATTTGGGGCCTCATGGCACCTTTCTACTGGCGTTTCTGATCTGGGTCAACGATTTCGATCTGGGTCAAAGTCTCCGATTTGGGTTCGCTTTCGACAGCTAACAGCGCCTCTACTACTCCATGTCTATGCAGCGCTCATATTCCCATATGCCTCATCAACATCGTCATCATCATCATCCGTGCCCTTCCCAACGCCACAAAGCACCGCACTTTGAAGCAGCGCTTGACCATGTCCAGTCGGCGTTCGCTGAGCTCCCCTCGGAGCCCCTCCAGCAGCTCGTCAAAGCTAATGAAGCCGCTGGCATCCCGATCGAAGCGACGGAACAGGCGCATCAAGTCAGCCTCGGACAGGTGCAGTTTTAACTCATGTAAGCCCTTCTTGAACTCGTCGTATGCTGCATTCCGTTCATGTTCGGTACGACAAAAGGGTTGTTCGTTAGCACATAGCAGCGTGTAAGACGACGTGCGGGGCTGACAGCGTGTATTGCATGCGGCGGGGCCTTGCGCGTATGAGAAACACGGGAGCCCAAATTTGTCACGATGCCGCTATAAGAATCCATAAATCCTAACGCCCATGGTTATCGCCGACGGGTCGTACAGCAATCGTACATTTCTCAGTAATACGACAGCCTACCTATGTAAGATCTCAAACTAAATCTATCCAACTCACTCAGCTTGTGGTTTCCATCGTCATCCATGGAGCGGAATTTCTTGCCGACACTGATAATTCCGTGCGTCCCGCGAAGCTTCAGTGCGGCCTGGGCATTTCAGCCATTAGGTTTTGGGTGAAATATAGGATTGTTGTAGATAGGTTTTAAGGTAAAGTACATGATTTGCTCCGAGTAGATGACGGGTCAGGGCAGAATCTGAATCGACATGATGGGGAATTTAGGCAGTTGGAAGCACCGACGGAGATCATTTCAAGTGACGCATCAAGCTGGGAGCACGATGGTGATCTTGACAGTGTAGGAGTGGTAATAGTACGGATGCAGCTGTCAGAAAGGATGCTTTCCTCGAAATAACGCTAGTAGTAACTCAAGTAGCCTCCTCCATAAGCCTCTGCACTTGAGCGTAAAACAGTATTTAAAGACCCACCTTGAAAGCCGCCAAGGCCACTTCAGCTTTTTTAGCATCCTCATCCTCAACCGGCGCCGGCTCGGGTGCGGCTTCTGCCGCTAAGTTAACGCAGGAGAAGAAGAGCGGAGGGCCAGGGTTACAGTGCTCCAGAAGTAAACGCTTCAAGGAGGACCGTGCATCTAAACTATTAGGATTTTGATATGACTAAAGTATGTTGCACAACGCGTTTGCACAACGCGTCAAGAGGCAAGGAGGGGTTTCTTTGCCTCCCGATGGATCATGTCGACATACCTGCTTTTGCTGCTTGTGCTTCCGAAGAAATTTGTAGTTGCTGGGGATAAGAAAGGGATGAGTAAATAGTACGAATCATCCCAGTCGTGTACTGCTTATAAACCGACCTTCAACATGGTCGAGATGGCCTCCCGCACGTCCGGTGCGTCAGTCGCAGCGGCAATAGCCCCAATAGCCTGAAGCTTCAGCACCTCCATGGCTGGAGCATCATCCAAGGGCACTGCCTGCTCAACTTCCGAGACTTCCGCAACCTCATCGCCCGGTTGCTCGGCAGCAGGATCTGCCTCTGGAGGAGACGTTGGCGGAGCTTTGCTTGGACTGGGTACATCACCGTATAAGCTAATTGATGAATGACCACCGGGTGGCGCCTGGACGCGAGTTGCATTGCGTGCCGGATTGAGGGCAGACATTTTCTACTGTTAGACCTATGTCTTCCGTCTCATTACAATCTTCAGTGACATTGCGTACATAATTTCACCCTGATGGCATGAAAAAACTCGAAAAAACTCAATCCTTCGCAGAGTGCCGTACATTTGGTTTCTTTACTTTTAAATCCTCAGCATGGGTAGTACGTTGCGTAACATCATGCATCTGAAATCAATACAATGCTTCATGAGAATCATGGCAGTCGTCGAACATTAGATGCAAGTTTTTTATCCGGTAGTATTGCACGCAATGCGTGAATAATGCCATTATTCAACAATCAACAACAAACAACGAAGTGGCTGAGACCTGAGTCACGCAGCGCAACTTGCGGCAGCTTTGCAACGATTTCAGATGTGCATATTCTCATCTCAAAGAGGAATCTACAAGTGCTATAGTACGACACAACGGCAAAATTCCTAAATTATGTGTGTTACCGGTGCATGGGACGCCTCATGCACGACCAGTTGCGCGAGTCGTGCATGCGGCTTGACAGTTTTTTCACTTGTTAAAATATGTTCACGTCTTACAAACCAAACTTCATGGGCATAGTATAAGACATTGCACAGATGGCCACAAGTGCTAACCGGGGTTGGGCATCGGACGCTAAGCAAAGCACATGTTACGTGTACAAGCATACCACAGGAGCTGAGCATGATGTGAGCTCCGTGTCCACTCTCTGGTCAACGCTGCGGAGCCCTGGAGAGGACTTATCGGTCTTCGAGGCGCTACCCGCTGGCACTGCACCCGAAATCACGCGCAACCACGTCATTGTTTACAAGAACGCACAGCACAGCGATGTGGACGCACCCAGCACTTCAGAAGATGCCAGAAAGTGGCGCAAGCTCTGTGAAACGGCCGGACCAGAGCCGCAGCCAGGGGAGCTCCTACAGCTCGCGGACCTGCTGTATAAGGCGGAGGTCGTGCTCGTCGATGAGCTGAATTCGCTGCTGGCCGAGGCTGGGCTGCGGACGATCGACCATGTCGCCGAAGCAGTCCGAAAACTGGGCGACAAGTACATCAGCTTCGCGGAGAAGGACGAACTCACCACCATTCTGGTTGCGGCCTTCTCGCGGCTGACGGGCTCAGCCGACGACGCGAAGGCTGCCATCGCGCAGTGGCCGGAGGTGATGGACTGGCACCGCCGCCGCGTGGCTTTTGCGCACCCGCTGGGCAACAAGACCATCGACAAGAGCAAATTGGGCAAGTTAAAGGCCCAGGTCGCGGTGGAGGAGGTGTACACGCCGGTGCGCTCCGCTGCGAAGGTGCTCATCGCTGCAGCAGAGCGCGTCACCGAGCTGTGAGGGCAAGGCTGGTGAGTTTGGCGTGAGGAACGGGGCACGGGGTTGGGACAGTCAGCTCAGGTAACGGTGAGACAGTGTGCTCAGAGTGTCTGGGGGCCATCTGGGTGGGGTAGCCTCCTTGCTGCCCCACGCTCTTGTGCACTGATGTGCCACGGTTTGTCACCAAATGGAGTGTTGCAATTGAATGGATGTCCTTCGCTTGCCACGGTGCACTGCAGAGCTGTGGAGGCCGGAGACGTTTAAGGGCAGGCATGCACTGCCTGCCTCTTCATGCTGCTTGACTTCTTGCTGGCCTGCCCAGGGCTGGCGGTGGTGTGGCCGTTTTTTGCTTGTGGAGCTTAAAACAGCCCGTCATCAGAGCCGGCAGATGGCAAACGGGGACTGGCAGCATCATGGCTACGGAGGACTGCCTGCCTGATAAGCGAGGCCAGGGGTGTGCGGCATCTAGATAGGCTAGAGTGATTGGACGAGATTTAAGGAGCCGTTTGTACGCAAGGAGGCCGTAAAGGTGCGCTGCAGTGGCAGCATGCTGCATTGAGAGCAGCAATTGTGCAACGGTCTTGTATGTAGCACCAGTGCTAGTGCAGGTCGAGATTGAGCCAGCAACTGCAGACTACCGTAATGACTTATCGGTCAGCTTTGATGGCGGGTTCGGTGTGTTGCGTGCTTGCTACTGCAGTATGGGCATGTCATATTGCATGCTATGTTGCAATATTGAGCATCTGGACCTCCTATCTGGTCCCCATACGGGTCCTTCAGCCAGGACCAGTGCGTGCCTCGGCACAAGATTTTGGGACGCTTTCAGGGTTTGGCCTTGCAGCTTGAGCCTGGATGTGCCCCTGGGAAGAAGTTTGCGTCTCCTGACGCTTTACTGCGCGGACTTCAGCATGGTGTGTCTGGTCTTGTGATGTTAGGCGTGGCTTTGGCGGACGTTTGCCTAGCTGTGCACGACTGGGTGTTGGGTCGGTAACCCAACAGGGAACAGCTGTTTCCGTGTAACCAAAGACCATGTGCACATTGTCACGTTTTTGTAATCCGCAGGTAGACAGCTGCGACACATATAGTGCTGTGTGGCACCATGCTCATGCTCCACGTGAGTGGAGTGGGACCCGACAGGGTTGCAAAGGCCGGAGCGTGAGGAACGACAGCCAAAAAAACGTTCCAGCAACCGCGGCCAGCTATCTGTCGATACAGTCACAGCGCACACCTGCCAGCCTCTGTCCCAAACTGCATATGTAATTGCCGCTGATGTATGGTCCGGGGGTTTACTGACCTGCTTTTGGGACGATCACAATACCTGCTCCCTTGCTCGCATCATCAACGGGGGTGCAAAGGCCAGCCCAATCTACACCAAGCCAGACTAAACAAGGGTCAGGCACACGTGACAGGAGGGCAGCGACAGAGGCAGAAGCAGCAGGGCACATGACGGTGGCGGTGACGGCGGTTATGATGAGCAATCCTTGAGGGGTAATAAAAAATAATATACCAAATATAAAAAACCACCAGAAAACCTGTAAGGACAACCTGCACAATGACCTGCAAGAACCTTCGGCGTGCTTTTTGGGTAATGGTGGTGGACACGGTGAAAGTGGTGGTGGTGGTGGTGGGGTGCTAGGGATGTGCGGGGTTGCACACATGTGAGGACAGAACCGACCACTATGCTGAATAGTAATCCGAGAAATCCTGTTGAGTGTATCTCAAAAGAGTTGTCAAAGGCTGTACTTATTTTTAGGATGTTGCAGCCATGTGTGACTGTGACAAGGGTATGTCAGCTTTGTACAGCTGGAAAATGGGCTGAGTACGGGGATGCAAAAGCTGAGATAGAGAAAGCCGAGGGTAGGGCCCCAAAAGCCAATGTCAAGAGGGGTTAGCGTAGCAGGAAGGCAAAAATTGAAGTAATAGACGGGGAGGAGCACGTGGAAGTGAGCAAATTTGAGACAAGCAGGTTTGACAAGTTAGGCAAGCTAGAGTACGAAGTAGGATTCAAACGAGACGAGATACTTGGATTCCTGCCAAGCAACTCGCAGAAGACCTTTCCCATGACGCTTTCAGCGAGCTCAAGAGGGGGCTTAAGAAGCGTGGGTGACGGGAGAGGGGAGCGGACCATGTTTGGGGCTCAGTTGGGCTCAGTTTGGGCTGAGTCCGTGTCGGCCGAGAACTGAGCGGAATTTAGCCGAACTGACGAGCTGTTTTTTTCTCTGTGCATTCTTCTTTGTTCCTTTTATTGTTACTTTTATTAGGAGCGATTAAATTTGGAGCTGAGCGCGCGCTGAGGACTTGTTCATGTGCTGTCTGTCGCCGAGGTGTGTTTGTCCCATTAATGTATGCGTACGCTTGAAGATTTCCACTGACCGCTAGCCCGAGCTTCACCACCTGGAGACTTGGGATGCCGAAATAGAATTCGCAGTCCATCGATCGATAAACTTCCCACACACTCTATATGAAGCTGTATTGCAGGGTAGGCGCGAGGAACTTTGCAAAGCACTTGCAAGCAGTCGGAAGAGGTCGTTTCTCTCAGTGTTACAGTAACAATTGATAGAGTCATTGCAGCATTCGTGAATGAATCGATTGAGGCATGCAGCATTCAGTGTCCCTCGGTGTCTCAATACTCGATGAAAACGCGATTAGATTCATTTAAAACTCATCGATTGAAACAGCGGGGGCTATACACTGGAATTCATAGCAGTCTTGGCGGGAATCGATGGGGGAGACCATCCGTGGTGTGTCTACGGGAGGTAGGCGTGAGTACCCTGCTGCTAACGATCTGCGTAAGGACACTTCCTAGGTGGGACTGTGTGGGATTTGGCCAGGCCGACTTTACCTTTACTTAGGCCGACCTAGGTCGCATTGGCTCGACAGAGCCGCACACAACAATCTCTCAACCTCTCGGAACCAAGGGCGCGATGGCTGCTCAGGATTATTAGATGGAGACTATTAGTCTAGATGCGGCTTGCGTTTCACCTTGAGGGGGACCCCGTCTGTTGTCGTTATAAACATGAGGAGACCGCCCAAGATGGCCGCGTCCTGTCACGAAACCGAAAAGGTGTCCACATGCGGCGATGGAATGCGACGGAGCAGAGCAGATCGTTGGGAGGAGGTTACGGAGGTAAAGAAGTAAAATAAAGTAAAACAAAACAGGAAAACAAAAAAACGCCGAATCAGATATGAATTAAGGGGAGGAGGGGAGAGGGAAGGTAAGTGGTGTTTTAGGTGTGGCGGTCCACGTTCCCTCCTCTGGGCGAGGGGGCAGCGATTCCTCACAGCGCATGTGTGCTGTCGCATGCTTGACGTCGACAGTTTGCGTCAACAACGGCTTGCAGGCAGATGGTACATTAAGTGAAGACTGAAGAAGGCGTGATTGCGTGTTATGCGGTGCAATCCCATGGCGCTCTATAAAACTTACAGTTTCTATGTGCCGAATACGCCACAGTCCCATATGTCAAATGCAACCTTTGTGCAGGATTAACCCAGAGCAGGTGCTAAACTGCTGCTTGCCTCCAAAAATCTCACGAGCACGTCTAGCTGCTCCTGCACGCTGCCGTATTCCTCTTCTCTCCAAAATTGGTGTGTCAGCAGGGTCATTGGCAGGAGATACATGACCTGCAAGGAAATTCACAATGCGATCATGAGGTTGTTGAGTGCTGAAAGGAGCTTCTTGACCTCGAGCTGGGTCCCTACAGGACCGTTGGCACCGTGTGGAGTACGGAGAATGTACTCCGCGCAGATTTGTATGAAAACTTTTACAATTTGTAGAACACAAGTTTGGAGACATGTACTAATAAGACGGGAGGTCAAACGCACCAGGAGGATGCCTCCAAACTTGTGGTTGAATACCATAAGGAAGCCGCCCAACCCTTGTGTAACCGCCAGGAACACAGCAAGCTTGTCCTGTCGCCGTTACCCCAGGTCAAATGGGAAAGGAAGATCATGTGCGATAGGTGTTTCACTAAGTAAGCCACACAGCCAGCCGGTGAGGTACTGCACGAGGCTCACATAGCAAGCTGGAGGACGGCGTCGGTTGCGGGGTTCACGACAGTGAACGAGCTGCCCACCTGCGGCACCTGCTTTCCGAGCTCCCCAAGAGTGTTAATGACAGCACGGTTCTGCTCTATAGCGTAACTCGCGGTCACTTTATCCTTTAGCAGTGCGAACGTGGTCATGCTCGCGACAAGAAACGGGCAAGCGAGCAGAAATCTCGCTACCACAAGAGGAAGCGAGTTTGAGGCCATATTTTTACGTAGTTTCAAATAAAGCGGTGGATTATTTTTGCGGCAAATAGCTGCACAAGTAGAAACCAGAGCTGTGGTACGGGCCGTACTATAGGCGCCCCGCGCTTCCGTTGGCCGATACCCATTGCACACGAAATTTGTTTTGTAGGTAGCTTTTGTATGTCCTCATTCACCTGCTTGCTACGTTGCTTCACGTTGTCGCCTTCTACGCTGCGTCGACGCCTCGATGCACAGCTACGTTGACCTACTTCCCTTTCCTGGGTGCAAATAGTTATAGCATATCTGCTGTTGCACTGTACATACATACAAGTAGGTATTTTGGGACACTGCTATCAGCATGGCGCAGCAAGGAGTCGATGAGCCACAGGAACAGACTGGATATCAGCTGCAAAGGCAACATTATTATAAAATCATCACATCTTACATGCCGGAGAGCTTCGAGCAGGATGCTGTGCAAATAGCGCTCGTTGCGGTCGATAAGTATCGGCAACTGAAGGACATAGCGTTCCACATTAAGCACGAATACGACAAGAAGTATCCGGGGAGCGGAAAGGCGACAGAGGGGGTCTACCACTGCATTGTGGGCAAGAGCTTCGCAAGTAAGTCGTGGTAGCGCTCTGGGGCGCGGGTTGGGGGGCGGCGGGTGCACATCTCGCTCACGTGCCACGCCTTAAAGCAACATGCATAAATGCCTCAATCCCTGTCCACCTGGTTGCCTTACCCGTGCAGGTGCTGTGAGCCACGAAACCCGGCAATTCATCCACATGAAGGTACGAGCTACCAATCTTTCGGGAAAAGCCTGCCGTACTTGCCTCCAGAGCTCCTGCGACGCATATTTCTAAGTGCGGCTCCTGCAACTTGATTTCTGCCACAGGTTGACACGTACCACGTAATTCTCTGGAAGTCAAAGGACACGCCCTTCACCGCGGGAGCTGAATGAGAATTGAAGCCGCTTCCGTTTGTAGCTCCTGTGATCATTTGTATCACGATGTTCCAGGAGCGCGATGGATGGACTGCTGCTGCTTTTGCTGCATCTGGGCGGCGGTGGATGGAGGCAGGGAAAGCGGACTAGCCTGCTGGTGAAGGGTGTGGGGAAGGTTTTTAGGGCTGCCTCTTGTGCAGAAGTGGCTTCAGGTCCAAAAGCTCTGAGCGGGCGGTGAGGGCCGGCGGCGGTGACGTAGTTACCTTTCAGGCGGCGGCATCATACAATGTCCAACCGACCAAATCACCGACTTGTCTTGAATTTAGCGACTGATGCTGTGCACGCATTGAACTGCGACTTATCTGCAACTCAAGGGTCGATACGACATGCTGCTCAATGTCCTGCGTAATAAGGCAGGCACACGCATAACCGCCGACAGCGCCCACCTGTCATGTGCACATAAGCAATATAGTAGTCGTCAAAGTAGCCTATTCTCCAGCTATGGTGTAAATGCGAAGTAAGATACGATACACCCGACTAACCACACACACGCATCTGTGGCTGAAGACGCGGCGTGCCGTGTCCACAACGGAGTGGTGAAACGCCTGCGCTCTTTCTCCTCGTTCGTTAAGTGGTATACGGTGCACGGACCTGGCACACAATCCGGTAACCCCGCTCACGTTGCCGTCTCCTCTCGAGGGGAGCAGCACAATACGCTGTAACCGTGATAAGAATTATATCACCTATGAAGTACATGATGTCTCAGAAGCGAGTCCCATGCACGCGAAAGCGGATGCTGCATGCGGCAAGCACTCGTAACAAGAAACAACATGAAGACACGGAATATCGTACAAAAACCAACACAAGTATTAACCACCGGTCCACTCCTTTTTCCAACCCTCTCTAACCAAAAACACGAAACAAACGAAACAGTTTGCAATCTCACAACAACAACAACACACTCCTACACCACAAGCCGCTGCGTTGCGGTGCAACCCCCCCGTCGCCCCGGATTGTTCACAACGGACGCAACAGCTTGCTTGTTGGCTAGGGCGTGGGCAGCTCCGCTCGGTCGCTGAGTTGTTTGTGGCTGTGGCTGGGGAGCTATCCGCAGTCGCGTGACGCTCAGGCTGCCCAGCGAGCACGATCCGCTCGTCAGCGGCCCCGCGCTGTTCCGGTGCGGAAGGCCCCCCAGCGGGACAGCAGCCCGCGCGACCAAGCTGGGTGAAGACGAAGCACCATTGGACGAGGAGGACATGTCGGTGAGCCGCTGACCGGATTGCAGGAGCTTGATCCTAGACGGCAGCTCGTGGATCTTGAAGTTGTACGGTACGGAAATGAAGCCCGAGTCCCATAACTGCGTGGCAAGAGACGACAGCCCGACTGTGTATCAAGCGCAGACAGGGAAAAGTGGAAATGCTATCATACACACAGCGCACGGACTTCCCTGAAACCCGGTATAGTGTAGAGTACAAGCTGCAGAGTAAAACATTACTTTTGACATGGATCACGGACCCAGCATCGCTCTCTCGATGACGCGACGGTGGCGTGGCGTTCCTCTCTGTGCACCTCCTCACCTCGTAGCAGTCGTCGAGAGCTAGGGAGGCGCCTTGAAGGTTGACCGTGGTCTTGATGAGGTCCGCGTGCTCCAGCAATCGCTGCGCCCCTTCAAGCACCTTGTCGTTCATGCAGATTTTGATGATGCACTTAAGACCGAACGCCTTCCGCACCTTCTCCAAAAGCGCCTCCTCGCGTTCCCTAGCAGAGTACGTGCGAAAGACAGCAGCGTCGCCTTGCTGGGGTTGACCTTGCATCGGTGTATCATCAGTGACTAGCTTGTGGCGAAAACCTTCTTCAGGCCACATGACTTCATAAACGGCAAAAAAAGCTATCGGGGGAGCCAGGGCTTCATCCATACAACTGCGGAATCGCTCCAGATGTGATCAGTATAGAACCGTGCAAAAACTTGGACTCATGGGATGTGTGTGTGTGTGTGTGTATCGCATGGTGGTACACATGGCGCACCGGGCCACGACCCGGAACCCGAGATCCGCCCTCTGCTCCCTACAACTGTTGCTGCAGGCTGCACCTGCCCATCAGACACTTTGCACCGTAGGCAGGGCGGCGAAACGGTCAACAACCCCCTTCTTTCCCCCGCGTTATCGCATCTGCACTCAGGGTTGCTTGCAATTACCTCCTATCACCCCCTAATATCCTAGGAAAGATGTTTCACAAAGACCACGACTTCTCCTTCCACACACTCGTTGTATAGGGCGTTATGCCGAAAGCGACGTTCCACAAATATCAACCAATACCCTTCGGACTTAAGGCCTCTTACCTACTGCTCTAAGGCCTCTTACCTACTGCTTTGCACTTCCGTTGCTGCCTCGCTGGCGGCTATGCCCGTCTCCGAGACAAGGAACTCAATGAGGTGCTGGGGCGGGCAGTCCGTCCGCACGTTCAAGATGGGACTGGAGGCATGGAAGTTGATGAGCGGCCCGTCGGACTCCGAGTGCACTATGAGCGAGAATGCAAACGTCCGGTCCCCCAGGTGCCGCCGGATGTCCTCCCTGCACCCATGCATCCACGGGGCAACGTTTGCTTGCCTCGACATTTTCCTATTCTTAGCTGCAAAGTTCATCGCGAAGGGAGCGTGTTGTGATGGAGCAGCGGACCAGACCAGAGCACTACGCAACATGGAGGGACGCCCAGACATGTCAGGCCCGGGTGGCCTGAGCACGCCATCGACGGCAACATAGGCGAGGGCCTCCTCTCCTTAAGCCCCCAGAGGATATGGACCCCCCTTGCCAGCATACGCGGCGGCCCAGGCGCGTCCCCTTCCTCGCAGCCGCTCATATACATCCTTGCATCCCACCCTGGACGTACGTAAAGCTTTCAGGTGCGCATGTCACCCACGCCATGGGGAGAGAGTAGAGCCGGCGACCTGCTGCATATGCCGGTGCGCCAGCCTGTCCATCAACAACATGTCCGCATATCCCCACTCCCACCCACCGTTTCTCCAACAAGTAACCAGCCCAGATGACGAATTTCTGCGAGTTCTGTTCCGTTTTCGTGTCGCACCACACCGCCTTCACCCCCAGCAATGCCTGGATGGCGGGCGTCAGCTCCTTCACCCGGCCCAGCCAAAAGTCCGCCACGAAGGCGAGCATGCGCGCCCGGTCCAGATCCAGCGCTTTCACCTGCTCGCGTATTGTCGTGCTGTCCGCCACTAAGTGCACTGTGCCGTCATCTGCGATGTAACTCTTCATGTAGCTGGTCTGCATTTGGTACTCCCCTTGCTCGTCCACGTACGCATAAGATTCGACGGGACACATGTCTGGGTGGTATAGCTGAATACTAAGACCCTCGAAGGACATGCCGTCCTGGTACAAGCTGCTAAGGCCGTATTCCAGCGTAGTTAGCGCCTCCACTTGCCGTTCCTGCTCGCATAAGCTGACCGCATACTCGGCACCAACCTGCCAGGTGCGCGCCGGCAATGTGGGTTGCGAGATTGGTTGGTTCGCCATGACACGGGGGTTGGTGTGGCGATAGGGAGAGGGAGACGTGTTTCAGGAGTGTGCTACCGGGTGGACGGATGCTGACGTACCTGAACTGCGGTCAGCGAAAACTTCTCCTGTAAAGTGTCGCGGTATTTCCTAATGCGCCATTTAAGAAGCTCATGCTGTTCAGCAGTTCGCACAGCTTCGTGGACTGTCTCCTGGAGCCAAGAGAGGAAATTGGTGTCCTGAACTGTTGCGTATGGGTCGGCAGCTTGCAGCTCCTCAGCGGTAATAAGTCCAAACGCGTAAAAAAGCGGAGCCAAGCTTCCGGTATCTGGAAGCTCAGCTTCCCGCTTCATAAGGGCGCCGGCCTCGCGGACATAGAACTCCAGCCGCGCCGGAGGCGGAGTGAGCCCTTTTGCAAGGTCATCGACGTAAGCGTTCAACACCTGCATACCGATTCGGCACCCCAAACCACTCTCAAGTCATGCATCATGTTTAAGCCATTCTGCTGCTACCCATTATGGTGGCCACGGCATCAAGGGAAACTCCCATAGGTTCAAACCCGCACCTGCAGGGAGTCTGAGTTGCATTGCCGCTCATAAGGGTTGGCTGCAAACAAGTCCGGATGCACCTGCCTAATAATCTGCCGGATAAGCCGCCTCGTATCATTAGAAAGCGACATCCTAGCAGCGAGAGCCTCCTACACTGCCAATTCGCCTGAGCTGGCCAAATATGATGCACTGCTATCACCTACCGCCTCCAATTCATATCCATGTAGATCGCGTTGCGGGTCGGGGTAGTGTTTTTTCAACGGTGAAGCGCTTTTGGCGTCGTACAAGCGAACCGCTCAGCCAAGCCCTTGTAGTGTCTCTTCGGCTAATGGTTAAAAGTATCGAATTCCGTGAGTTGTACCGTATTCCTGCAAGACGCTGCGAGCAGAGCGCAGTTGCAGCAAAAGAACCCAACCTGAACCCAACTGCGCGTTGCCACGCCCCTCACGGAGGCATTTAGGGATATGCAAACACAAAATAACGCCCATGTATGTGCGAAATATATGGGTGCTATCTAGCAGCGCTTGGATCACGACAAGCCTCGCGTTTGCGCGCGTGCCGTCGTCTTTGGTATGCACGCAGTTATAACGCGAACTCAGCAACTGCCAGGTAACCCAGCTATGATTCTCTTCAGTGAGGCTTACAGCTCGCAACCAGTCCGTTGGAATCCGTATCAGCTGTCCAAGAAAATGTAACATGCTAAGTGAGACCTCAGAACATCATTGAAGACACCTTGGGCAGGCGCCTGTCTTTGACGGGTTGTCCAGCTGACGGCCCACGACACAGGCCGGAGCACAGCCATAAATCCAGATACACAGGCCGTGAAGAATCATCAGCACCGCTGTGATACATACGACGTATGTTAAGGCTTGGCACGTTGCCGCTTCAATCCCTCACGTCACCCAACGCTTGGGGCGTTGTCGGTCGCAATCAAACCCTTGGGAAGTCTGAGAATGTGAGACCCCGGCAGTAAGCCCTCACGTTTACCGAGAGCTCGGGATACGCGAGCTGTCTCCCTCCCGGAGGTCTCCCGAGAGCGCAGCGGCGTCCACACTTCGCGTTTGCACGGCTTTGGGGGGCCCTACACTTAATCACTCAATCAGAGGGCTTACGAACGCAAATGAAGGGCACCCGGTCAGATGTCCGTGGAACGCCATGCAGACTCAAGAGGCACACCCACAGCGCTGTTAATGGGCCCGGCGAGATCGGCAAGAGTGCGGGGGAAGAGGGGAAAGGGGGAAACGAGGGGATTACATTACATGCGATTACATTGAGTCTTGCGCGCATCAAGGCGACATTCCCAGCAGACCTGACAAGGCCGTTACGGTCCATCCAGATGCTCGGATGTCGGGCCCAGACCCAGTCCCCTTCCTCAATCTTATTCCATCGTACGGTACGGCATATGTGCAGCGTATACGACATATGTCCAACGTACTCGGTGCCCCGCCTGCCAAATGCCTGCCTGTCTGCGTCGTGATCAGAACCAACTTTTACTATTTAAGTTGAACTCGGGATGAACTAAAAGTCGTATCCTTGCTAATTACGTCGGTCGGTCGGCCTTCATAATGCTACACACATTTGCTATTTAATGGTACATATACGCTACACGCCAGCCGCCAGACGGCTCCCGCAGCACCAAACAGACACACAGGAGATTTTTAAGCGCCACCCGGCAGCCATCACTACACCCTCGCCCGCCTCTCGTTTCCCCTTCCCTCTCTCCCCGCACAGATGGGTGTTAAATTGCTGCCCCTGTACGCCCCAATCTCGGGCATAATGTAACCCAGCAGCCATCATCACCCTGAATCCCCCCTCAAGAAAGCACCCACACACGCTACCCAGATCCGTAATTACAGTTACCATTGTACAGGGCAAAGAGCGCTAAGATCGTGGACTCTTTTGCAGCGTTGCACACCGTCCCATTCACCCGTCACCACCGTGCATCCCCTCTGTTGCCGTAGCCAGCGCCTCAGTCGGCTCCACCGAGGTAGCGACCCCCGAGGAAGCGACTACCCCGGGGAGCGACCGCTGCCTTACGAAACCCTCCGAAATCGAAACCGGCGGCGGGGCCACGTCCGCGCCGAGACCCCCCTTGGCATCAAGATCACCGCCACCGCCACCGTCCAAGCCACTTCCGCCCAGGGCCCCACAGTACGTCGCGACAAATGCCTCCTGCCGCCGGCTCTCCACTGCACCCCGCCGGTGACGACGAACCTGCAGCAGCAGTCAGCCACCCAGCCAAACACAGCTAAAGTTGGCGAGGTGTCGTGTCAAATCCAAACAGGACAGGAGTCCTCCCTCTGGACGACACATACACACCGCTGCCGCCCCAACATGGGGTCCCGTGTAAATTACGCCTGCCACCCTACGGTCCATCCCCACGCTCCCCCGCGTTCTCACCGTTGCAATGGCCTCAGCTGCGCTGCTGCACACCCCCAGCCGCAGCAGCACACATGCGGCCATCAGACCCGCGCGACCGACGCCGCACCTATACGACATCCGCGGGGTGGGGTGGGGTTGGGTGGGTTGGGGAGGGGAGGGGTAGGTAACGGAGTAAAGGGGTATCCGGTGCATCGCAATGGACTCCGCGAAAGAAACCCCAAAACGCAACCGGCGTCGGCAGCGTCGGCGAAATTCACTCGGGCCATACAACGGAATCGTTTACAAGGACTGTAGGTAGAAGGGGCTCTCGCACATAACCACCGCATAACTTAGGGTTCTGCAGCGAAGGAGAATCAATGCAGGCTGTGATGAGAGTGGGTTGGGGCCGGGGCCGGATCGCGACAAAGCCCCGAAGAACAGGAGGACACACAAATATTGTAGCGTTCGTTCTAAACTTACTTGCAGTGCATGATAACTGTACGGCCAGCTTGCAGGTGTGCCGCCACAGCTTCCACGAGGGAGATCGCCAGGAGCAGGTCACTAGGTGCGGTCATCTCTGGAAAAGGGGGGAAGGGTAGGAAAACATGAAAACATGCAAATAGGGTTGGATGAAGGAGATGATGATAAACTTGAGGCCCTTTGGACCTAAAGTTATTGAACTGTCGAGCCAGCACAATTACGTAGCGGGAACGGAAAGGGACATAGCTGGTGAAGCAACGTGCCGCGCACATACATCGACACAGCGCTCCCGTCGGCTCTTCGGCGCTGTCGAGCACCCGCCCTCAACACCTCTCACGTCATACATACCTATTATTGGTAGCTGCAGGTACTCCATGTCGTGTTTCTCCACAGCCGCGGCATAGTTCCGGACTTTGAGATACTGCAGCCGCGTGTAAACCGCGGGCACCGGGACGTAGAGCGGAAGGAAGTACTCAGGAGCGTGAAAATGGCTTAAGAGGATTCATCACTCAGTTGCTCAGCGGACGGGGTCTATTAGGAATGGGGCTTCCTCCGGCGGGCGGACACTGCTAACAACTCAACCAGATTGCAACGCACCAAGGTTATCCGGGCATTCAGTTTACCCCGCAAGCAGGAGGTCTAGGCAACATCGCTCCCCTCCTATTCCTCTGCTGACCTCCAATGACTGACCCTAAGCTCGGCCTCTGGTAGCAGACACACCACCGCGTGCACGCCATGCACTTGCCGTAGCCTCGCAAGATCGGCGTGCAGGTCCCGACGATATAGGGTTCCATCACGAGCGGAGATGTGCTTCCCAGGACAGGAGGTGAGACCCAGTCGGCCACCTGTGGATGGCGGACCGGCAGGAGCCATGGCTGTAACGGTAAAACGTTTGGGAAGGGCACGGTCAAAGGCATATCAATTTCCGGCCGCCCACACCTGCAGCAATCTGGCATGGCTCAATCCACGATACGTTTAGGGGATGGCTTTCGGAGGTCACAGTTTTCGGTGCGGCATTAGGATTAAGTGCTTTAGAAATTTCTGATTCAAGGTAGCGGCGCATAGGGTGAAAATCCATCGAAGGTCTAGGAAAGCACAACTTTGCAATTTTAGACTGCTTGTGCTTTGCATTTTCCAGTCACGCTCCGAAACTAGCGATCGGGTTGGCAGAGTCGCACGTGGTCAAGGCGCTTGCAGGCTTGCAAAAACTGTGCTCTTTGCTGTTGTTTGTGTTCGCAACAATGATGCTGCGCGCCAGCACCACCGCGCCCCGCGTTGCCGCCGCTCGCCCATCCCAACGGAACGTGCGCGTGATGGCCGCAGCCTCCACAACGCAGCTGAGCCAGGATGAGCTGAAGAAGCTGGCAGCTTGGAAGGCGGTGGATTATGTTAAGAGCGGCATGGTGGTCGGCCTGGGCACGGGCTCTACTGCTGCTTTTGCTGTGGACCGCATTGGCCAGCTGCTGAAGGAGGGCAAGCTCACCAATATCGTAGGCGTTCCTACTTCCATCCGCACCTACGAGCAGGCTCTTTCCCTTGGGATCCCGCTCGCAACGCTTGACGAGCAGCCAAAGCTGGACGTTGCGATTGATGGTGCGGACGAGGTCGACCCCAACCTGGACGTGGTCAAGGGCCGTGGTGGCGCCCTGCTGCGCGAAAAGATGGTGGAAATGGCCTCAGCGAAGTTCGTTTGCATTGTCGATGACTCTAAGTTGGTGGACGGCCTGGGCGGCAGCAAGCTTGCAATGCCGGTGGAGATTGTGCAGTTCTGCCACAAGTACACCCTGCAGCGCCTGCAGAACCTGCCAGAGGTTAAGGGCTGCGAGGCCAAGCTCCGCATGAACGGCGACAAGCCTTACGTCACGGACAACAGCAACTACATCGTGGACCTGTACTTCCAGACCCCGATTGTTGACTCGCACGCTGCCTCCAAGGCGATTCTTGCTCTGGAAGGTGTTGTGGACCACGGCCTGTTCCTGGATATGGTTGATGTGTGCATTATTGCCGGTGCCAATGGGGTGGAGGTGAAGGAGCGCCCGAAGCCGAAGCACTGATCACCTAGCCTGCTAAGAGCTGACCAGTCCTAAGCTGCGTGCAGTAGAGCTGGCTATGATTCTGATGCGTCGATCTCTAGCTCTTCATCAGTGTGGTCCGAATTAACTGGTTAACGGTTGTGGGTTAACGGTTAGTAGTCGAATCTTCAAGGGGAAGGGCAACGGACCTGCATGGATTTGAGAGCTTGTTATGAAACTTGCTGTGTGCTCCTGGCCAGACATAACACCCATATTGCATGTTGTGGTTTGGGGAATGGCACCCTGGAGACGCGTGGGCGGTTATTAATCGCTCCCTGCTTCAAAGGGTTTTTCCTCCCTTGACCCTGGTAGGTAGGGAATTTTAGGGTTTGCCTAACGATCTGCCTTTGGGTTTTGGCCAACGCTCTGTGTAACTTCTTTTACTCTCCTAAATTGCGTGTTATAATGGACCCGTGAAGATCATTACCATCGCCACATTGTACCAAACACTCGACTTGCGCCAGCATTTGCATATGTTGTCATGCCCAGATGTGCGCGTAGCCCAAGGCGTGTTGATCAATGGGAATTGTGCGAATAAGGCACATTAAGCGCTCCAAGACAGGCGAACGGACACCAAATCTAACGGAACACGAGCTTCAGCGAGTCGTCCCAACTCGATAGGGCACAGACGCATCATTGACAGACACATACATCTGCCCTGTCCCGGTCAGTGACATATATCCCAAGCTGGCTATTTAAACTCATTCCTCATGATGCCAGCCCGCCTAATAGCAGCCCCTTCAAGAACCACCAACACACGTGCAGTATGGGACCCAGAAGGGGCAAACCACACGCCTTTTCCAGCCCTCATCCCTTCCCTGTCAATCAACGCCAACACCCGTCGACAACACGTGGGTAATACGTGTGCCACGCCGCGCCCCCGAGACATGTATAGTTGGCCACGTGTATATGACTTTTCCCGCGGTGGCTTATTTCGTAAAACTCGTCTGTGGTACCGACTTTCTTGCCTCCCAACAGCAGTAGCAGCAGCTGCTGTTGCTACTGATGGTGATGATGAGGCCCTTGCTGCTTTGGCCGCCCCTGCCTGGCCACCTGCTACTGCGGCTCTCGCGGCCTGACCTGTCCGGCTTACTGCTGCTGCTGCTGCTGCAGCTGCTACCACCACCACTGCCACTACTGCTACTGGCACTGCTACTGCCTTCACACAGCTACTACGGCTACACACCATTACGTGAGGCGCCCTGGCATCTTGGAAAAAGCGGCGCGGCTGGTGATTTGGCCCACGCTGAGCGCACCCGCTGTGCCGCTGCTCCCCACACCCCCTGCCGCCTGCCCCTGCCGCGTCGCCACCTCCCCAATAATTTGCAACACCGCTTCAAACAGATGCTGGGTGGACTCAGCCAGTACGGCGTCTTTACCGCCCCGCACCACACGAAGACGGTCCTGGACCTGCAAGGGTCGTGTGCGCGCATGCCACATGTATGTATGTATGTATGTATGTATGTATGTATGTATGTATGTATGTATGTATGTATGTATGTATGTATGTATGTATGTATGTATGTATGTATGTATGTATGTATGTATGTATGTATGTATGTATGTATGTATGTATGTATGTATGTATGTATGTATGTATGTATGTATGTATGTATGTATGTATGTATGTATGTATGTATGTATGTATGTATGTATGTATGTATGTATGTATGTATGTATGTATGTATGTATGTATGTATGTATGTATGTATGTATGTATGTATGTATGTATGTATGTATGTATGTATGTATGTATGTATGTATGTATGTATGTATGTATGTATGTATGTATGTATGTATGTATGTGGGTAACGTGTGCTTCGGGTCGGGTCGGGTCCCGGCTGCAAGTCCCGGCTCCTCCCCGCTGGGGGTGTGTTGGGTTAGGCGGGTAAGGAAAACGGGGGGATTACATGCCAGAAGGATAATTCGACTCCCCGCGGGCGGAGGGGATTAGGCGGCTAAGGAGGAGGCGATCGAGCCCTGCTTCTATCTTATGATTGGTGAATGTAGAAGAGTGGGGGAGGGCGGCGTAGGGGGGGGTTGACTGAGAGTTGAAGGGGTAGGTGGGAAGGCCCCGTATAATGCTTAGGACGAAGGACATCGCATTCACGTCGAAATATATATCACTATGAGGGGTGCACGTGAAAGGGGGTTCTGTGCTTCCGAACGCGGGAAAGGACACGGCGGGACGGGTGTGTATGTCTGTATGTATGTGTGTGTGGAGGGGGGAGACAGAGGGACAAGGTCCATGAAGCAGCACTCCAAACAATTTTACTCCCTTCGTACCTGTTGCGTACGGAAAAGGTAGTACAGCTGCAGGAAGAACTCGTCCGCCAGCATTTCCGCGCAGCTCTTAATGCTGCGCACGAGCGCCAGCAGTACGCTGCCGTACCTGCGTGCCGTATAGGTGTCATCCGGGCCGCCGGCCCGTACCACACGAGTGCACGCCGGAACTTCGAGTCACGCCGCGTCTGGTCACGTCTCCGGCGTGTGGTTCGGTTAGTGTGCAAACCCAGTTGTCATGACGTGTCACTGACAGTGCCCCGTCCGCCTTTCATTGTCTGCCCCGGCCTTGGCCTCCATTACTGCCCACCTGCCCGATGTCCCAGAACTCTCTCTCCTCCCCTAACACACATACACACACATACATACACACATACACACATACACGCGCGCGCGTACCTGAAAGCCGTCACCAGCGCCGCTAGGGAGGGTTGCCGTGCAATGCCGTACAGCTCCGCGTATCCCATGACAAAACACGCCAGCCTCAGAAACATCCGCCGTACAAATTGTAGCAGCAGTTCGGGAGGGAGCTGGGGGTCCAGGTGGGGGTGAGTTCGTGTCCGGTGTGTTTTTGTGTTATGTTCCTTTGTACGCATGTCAGTATGTAAGGTTCTCTCCGGCACCGGCCCTCTCACAGTCCCTATCATTCCCTTAGAGCAACACAGTGGATGTCGTACTGTCGTACGTCCGTTCTGCATTCCCGTTATTTCAACCTCCTGGTCTCACTCTTGTCATAACACGGAATTGGGCTGCCTGGCAAATCCCCTCCCCTCTACTCAGCCCTCCGTCCGCCGTACCTGCCGTAGAACCTGCAGTACAATATCTTCATTTTCGTACTGCCCAAGTGCCTGGGCTTCCTCACTGAGGCCCGTCATTTCGTACAGGATGCCGACGGACCAATCCAGAGTGTACGACTTGATCTCGTACTGCTCGTCCGTACGGAGCAGTACAGTACCACGCGGAGTACAACGGAGCATCGGGATTCGAAAGTGAGAGCTCCGGGTAATGGAAGGGGAGTTAGGGTTTTGAGTCATAGGCCCCGGGGGCCGTTCCAGATGTACCTGGGGTCCAACGTGCTACTAACCAGAGCACACACACACACACACACACACACACACACACACACACACGCGCGCGCGCGCGCGCACACACACACACACACACACACACGCGCACACACACACACACACATGCGCGCGCGCGCGCACACGCGCACACCCGTACCAGGATAGCTTAGGATGGAAAACGAGGCTTTAAGGCCCTTACGAGGTGCCGTCGTTTGTCTCTAGCCAGTTCTCGCTACCCGCGCACCACCTAGTCGCGCCCTTTGCCCCCGCAGCGCCTCCTCCGCTTATTTCTACGGGCTGTTCATATGACGCACTCCCTCACTGTAACCAAAATCCACCTGAGAATTTAAAACAGCTACGCCTAAATTTTATTCAATGGAAAAGTCTAAAACACGTCGCAGGTGGCTACTTTCGGAGCCACACACACACACACTCTCAGACACACACCTGGACGACACGCTCCCTCCCTCCCCCCTTAATTTCTCCCCCCCACACACACACACCCCAAATCCCCCTTTCCCCCCCTTCCCACCACCCGCACCGCCCACCCACCCGAATCCAGTACATCATATCGGAGCCGCTCAGCGGTTTGGCGGGCTCCACCTCGGGCGGGTACCTGCCCCCCTCGCGGATTGGCGGGTTGGGGTCGGCCATCTGGGTCACGAGCGCCACTAGCGTGCGGGAGCAGCGGGAGAAGCTCCAGTCCAGCTCGGGGGGAGCTCCGGGCTCCGTCTCCACCAGCTGAGCAAAAACGCAGCACACAGGACGCGTGCGTGTGTGTTCGTGTGTGTTTCAATGATCTGTGAGTGTGTTAATGATCTGGGCCGTGTGTGTGGATGTGCGTGTGCGCGTGTGCGTGTGTGTGGATGTGCGTGTGCGCGTGTGCGTGTGTGTGGATGTGCGTGTGTATGTATGTATTGTGGCTTTCCGGACGATGCAAGCCAGGGAGGGGGTCAGGGAGGGAGGGAAAAATATGTGTGTAAATGGGAGAGGGTAAAACACATTGCCTAATATAAACCCTAGACCCTAGACCCCTTTTTTACGATCCCCCTTGTCCAGGCCCCCCCGCCGCCACATGCTCGCCCTTCTCCCCTCCTCCCCCCCCCCCCGGGCCCCCTCATCTCCCCTCCCACCGCCTCGCTGAGCCAGTGGATGCGGTTCTCACACCCCTCGCTGAAGGCCAACTCCTGGTGCACCCAGTACAGCATCCGACGGAGCCGTTTGTACGCCAGACGGGCGGCTAGGCGACCCGCCAACCGCTCCCAGAGCTCGACCGCGGGGCCGCCTGCAAAGGAATTTGGGGGGAGGGTTTGGGGTTTGGGGTTATGGGGTGGGCGGGGGCCGGGGGAACATAGGTGGGCTGTGTTTTGGTGGGAGGGTTGTCAAGGTGGGGGAGGGGGCGGTGGTGTTGGGCGCGTTGCGGACTTCCGCTCTATTTCTCACTCTATTTGCATTTGCTGTTGTTTTAGCAAGAAGGGGACGCCAAACAAGATACCAAGGATGATGATAGCCGTACTGTCGTATTATCGCGTACTTCCACGTACCGCCACGTGCGGCTTTGTTTGCGGTACCGTCTCACCCCTTAATGCATTAAAGCGACAACACTCACCTAGCAACTCCTCCTCTGTGGGGGATGTCCTGGATTGGAGGATCGCGCGGAGGTACGCAGAGCGCACGCCGGCGGCGGCGGAGGAGCTGCGGCGGCGTCCGCTGCCGCCGCCGCCGTCGCCGCCGCCGTCGCCATCGCCGTACAACCACATCCCGCTGCGCACCATTTCCTCGGATCTCGCCGTACGCCCCGTCAGCATGTCCATCAAACTACTGATGCCGCTGCTACCGCCGTCGCCGCCGCTGCCGTCACCGTTGCCGTACAGCTGCTGGTGCTGCAGTACAAAGAGGAACGGGGCTTCGTCCAGCGGGGAGAGGGCGAGGGGGTCGGCGGGGGCGAGTGTGGGTGGCGCCTGGGTTTCGTGAGCGGGTGAGCGCTGACCCACGGGACCCTTGGCCGCCCACTGCTGCTGCAACTCCAAGATCTCCGCAAGCGCCTGTACGGTCGCCCTGTCATTTGTACGACACAGTACGGCACAATGTACTAGGTGGAAAATGAAATGGCACAGAATTGGAGGACTAAAGAGGGATATGTAAGAAAAAGCGGAAGTGCCTGGTTAGGCACCTAGGCAAGATATACCGATAGCCCTTAGAAACACATTGACAGGTGCGGGGATCGACCTCCCACAAGTCATGAAAAAATACATATATTGACATACGAACAGTACAACAAAACCATGCAACGAAAGTTTTAGCGAGCCGAGTTCGGACCACGTTCCGAAGGTAGGTAAGGCCTCGGCGCCCCCCCCCTTAAACCCCTAGCCTCCTGCGATCCAGCTTCCCGCACCCCCCAGAGTTCTTGCCCGCCATTATTAGATCAATCAAAAACACACACATCCCCTTCCGCCCCATACACACATCTCCCCCAGCTTCCCCACCTTCCCCACCTTCCCCTCCTCACCGAATGGATGTTGGCTCCGACGCCGATAGCCCCAACCGCCGGAGCAGGTGTTTCTGGCGCCGAGCGCCCCTATTGAACATGGACCAGGTGCGGCTGTTGTGGAGTCGCTGAAAGAACGACAACTCCTCATCTAGATCCGCAACCTGATCCAAAACACTCCTGAAAGGGTGTGCGCGGGTGTGATAATGGACGAGCACACACCTGACAATGGAGCTGGCAGCGGGCAGATATGTGGCGCCGTACGTCGAGTACGGCATCCTCCCGCACTGAGTCGTACGTGATATGATTTGTGTTTGTTTTCAACATTAAAATTGAATGTTGAATGATAACAACAATAATAATAGTAGTAATAACAAATATAAAATAATAGTATATGTATTATTATTACAAAATGTATAATAACAAAATAATATCCCCTGACCCTTTGGGGGATAATATATGCCGTACTGCCGTACTTCTTGGGGCGAAGCGTGAAGGGTGGTTCAGCAGACAGCGGCGACGAGGACGATGTCGACGGCGGCAGCGGGGACTTTGGCGTGGCGGCGGCGGCGGCGGCGCCGCCGCCGTTTGCCAATCTCGGCTTCCGTGGGGGCGCCAGTGGCGGCACTAAGTCGTCGCTGTATGTGTACGGCGGAGGGCTAGGGGGTGACGGGGCCGTCGCAGGCAGTGAAGGAAAAGCAAAGGATGAGTGGCGCGGCGGGGAACGGCTGCCATCGCCGCTGCCGACACCGCCGCCCCTGAGCGCCGTCGGTAAGGAGAACTGGGGGCTTTGGCTCCGGCTTTGGCCCTGGGGCCCCGGGACGTCCAGATCTATGACCCGTGGGTCGTTGCTGGCCCTCAGCCGCGCACGGTTACCGCTTGTCGCTGCCTCGGCGCCAAGGCTCTCCGCCACAGGCCCGGAAAACGGCTTGCCGTACGAGTCACCACCTCTCTGGCCCGAAACCTGTGCGCCGCCTTCTCGCCAGCCGCCGGTGACGCCACCACTTGATGCTGCCGGCGGCGACGGAGGCGGCGGCGACAGCGGCTGCTCAGCACCTGCCAAATGCTGCTGCTGCTGCAGCCAGCGTCGCTGTTGTTGAAACGCGGACGACGAGGAGCTGGGTTTCGGCGACGACGGCGGGGAGATGTACGATGACCCGACGGCCGTTGCGGCCGCCGCTGTTGCGCCGCCGCCGCCGCCGCGGCCATCCCGCTTCAGCGCAGTCATGGACCGCCGTACACTGCGCCGTTGACTGACCCTAGAGGTCAGGTTGTCGTTGTGTACGGATTGGGCATCTGTACCGTGATCCGTTGCGGCCGTTGTGGTGGTTGTGGTGGTTGTGGCGGCGGCCCGTGTTCGCGTGGGGGAGGTGGTTTTGCGAGATGCCGAGCTCCCAAACATGGCACATACAGCGCCCCAGGCGTAGAGGCGACTCAATATGAAGCTGTCGGTTGGGATATGGGCGAGATGGGGAAATGTCAAAACACAAATCAGCCGTACATATTGCCAAGGAAGGGGAGGCCAATTGCGGCGGGAAAAGCGCAAAACAGAACAGCGCGAGCAGGTAGGCAGGCAGGCTGGCTGGCAGCGAGGTACGACAAGCAGCGAGGTACGACATGTTGAATGTGCGAGGGGTTGGGGGTTGGGTTGGGAACGAGGAGGAGCATACCTGAACACACGGCGTGACGTGAAGAAGCACTTGGAAAGTTGCCGTACACCCGGAGCCTGAGAGAAGGATCGCTCCAAAATGATTTCCTGCGTGACAGGGCGTGAGATCAGGAACCATAAAGCCAGATCCAGATCCAGATCCAGTGTGATTGAATCTCCATGCGATTAAAAATGGTGTGCCTACTGTTGGAAATTACCGACACTCATATTCCAGAGGATGGTAACAGCAGTAATAGGACCGGGCGGGGGTCCGGCGCTTTGCTGGTCTTAACACCTACAACAACAACAACAACAACAACAACAACAACACCTACAACAACAACAACAACAACAACAACACCTACAACACCTACAACACCTACAACAACAACAACCCCTCGGCGGGCCCCGCACCCGCCACCCACCTCTCCCCTCCTATGGCGACCTGCTCCCCTCGGACCCACCGGATAACAAATCCCATCAAAATATATTATTACAAACCCATCCCACCCATCCCATCCTCACAACCAGAAACACGACCGTAAACACAACCATTGTGCGTGTCATCCTTGCGCAGGGGCCTTGCTAATCTTCTCTGTATTTTTCCAATTTTAACATTTGTGCCGAAACACAACCAAAAAGGTAACGACCAAAAAATAACGACCAAAATAACGACCAAATAAACGGCCAAATCCCCCCCATAACCCCTCGCGGCTCACTGGGAACCCTAGGGGAGGAGAGACACCACCTGAATCAGATTAGCATCGCCGTCATCGAACAAGCTGCAGCCGTAACCCATGGCGACCTCAATCTCAGCGTAAAAGGCACGAGCCTCCCTGGCGTCAACGTCAGCGCCGTACCACTCTGCCGCCAGATTGGCGGCGGCAGCGATGGATGCGGCGGCGCGGAGGTGGTTCGATGTTGGCGTTGGCGTGGGCCGCTGCCATCCAGTTGTTGCGGCCGCCGTCGGCGCGCGTGTTGCGTACGACGACCTTTCATCCGCGCCATCCCCTGCGACATCAGGATGCCAAGTGATTGTACGGGAGATGTTAGCGCCAACGGTTGGTGCGGATGTACGGCGGCCATCGCCACCGCCGCCATCGCCGCCATAGCTGTCTTGGTGCTGCAGCTGAAGCGATTGCCAGGAGTTGTTGAAGGCGCTCAGATTCTTCCTGAAGGCGGCGTTGAATGCGTCGCCGCCATCAGAGCGCTCCGCCATCGCACGATGTGACGCCGCCGCGGTATCGTACGACTGCTGCAGTGGTGCCGGCGCCGACCCTGAAGGCGTGCCCAGGGCGTTGATCTGACGGCTTCGGCGGCGGGAACGCTGAGCATCGTACAATGACAATAGCGCAGAGCTGACGGAGACGCTGAGGTCCAACTCGCCGCCGCCGCCGCCGCTCGCGTCGCCGTCAGACATCTTCTGAAGCCAGCCACGCAGCGGCCATGTGAAATTCAGTTTTAAATATAAATATAAATTCAAATTCAAATTTAAATTCAAAATTTAAAACATGCTCCAAGCGAGCAGCTCGAACGCAAGGGACAAGCGCGCGCAACCCGGCACCCTCAAAACAAAAACACCTTCCACGCATTCGCACCGACCAAGACGAACGAACGAACAAACGAATGACCGTCCTTTCTTACACACGAGGCTGACGTAGATTTCTCGGTACACTGGAAGGATTGACCCATGGGTTCTTCCTTCCACGCCATGCACCATGTGCCGCAACCGCCGTACGCTTTGCAGCGACCGTTACAATTCTGGAGGCTATTATGCACCACAACACACAACACACCACAACGCAACAAACAGGACTAACACACCAATGACACCGGCACTAACCCGTCCCAGGCGCCCTGGCTGCTCCGCTGCAGCCGCCGCCCCCGCCGCCGCCGCTACCAAACCGCCGCCGCCGCTGCCGCCGCCGCCACCACCGGATCCGGCTCCCCCCAGCGTCCCCCGGAGCGAGCCCAGGCGCACAAGACTTCTCCTCGAGGTGCTGGGGCTCAGACTGAGCTGTTGTGAGGTGATGACGCGAGCCATTTGCTGTTGCTGGTTTCGCTGCGCCTGGTTTGGCCAGGGGTGGTAACTCTTGGGGGCCGCCGGGGTAGTGGGCAGTGCCGGCGTGGCGGAGCCTTCTCCTGCGGCAAGTCACCGCACCAATGACAGGAGCCGGTTTTCTTTCTCTTCATGGAAGGGTTTCAGGGTTTTGCTGCTTCAGGGTATACCGAGTACTTTGGGGGGATAAATGTTAGGGTTTTAGGGTTTTAGGGTTTAGGCACTGTCACTCTGACAATGAAACTGGCGGGGTCGGCTCAAAACGAGCGGAAGCGCTGCAAGGGCTGCACACATATTTGTGCAGTGCCACCCCAATGCCGTACAATGTACTGCAATATCCATGAAGCCCTGTGCCCGTACTATCGCCACGACGACCGCTTTTATAGGTGACACATGCTAACCCTACTATTGCCCGTACTATCGCAGAGCTCCGGAACCCATCCCCCATCCCGCGGGCGCCCGCATGTCAACCGTACCCATGCCGTACCGGATGGTGGATGGCCGTACAGTACGGGGCTATCCCCGGGAAGCAGCCCCAGTGCCTCTGTGGTGCCCACTGCCCGAGCTGCGGAGCGGAGACCTTCTGCAAGACTGTTGTGGTGATTAAAAGTGCCGTACATGAGCCCGTGGGGGTGAGTGGGAATCGGGTTAGTGCGTGTTTTTTTTTGTGTGTGTGTGTGTTTTGTGTGTGTGTGTGTGCGTGTGTGTGTGTGTCGGTTAGGGCCAAATGATAAGGCGATGAAGGAAAGCGAAATACGTAAAGCATGAAGCTGCAGATTGACCGTGGAAGGCCACCGGGCCCGGCCGCCTGCCTGGCTTCCCTAAACTCCAAACATGATCCTGACACTCTAAAAAACTTCAAAAAACTCTGGAACCCCAAATCGAGTAATAAGGCACCTGGCAAGGCACCCGAGAAAGCCTTTGCCAACCCGCGACTTCTCGCTGTACGGCTTGGCCAGACACGTTGGATCCCGGAATCCGTGAAACCGAAAAAACGGAAAAGACGGAAAAAACGTAATTGGGCCCCGCGAGCCACCAGCACTGGCGCGGAAAGGGGCAGTTTTGAGGACCGCATGCAAAGCCCGCCCAGGCTTTAGGCCGTACGTACGGCATCCCATAATTTCGCATAGTTTCGCGGAATAATTTCCGTACTCCCGTACTCAAACAACCACTCACAGTGCGGGATCTGAGAAGTACTGAAGAGCCTGCTGAGTGGCATCCGGCGCGGCGCGAACCTCCGGCAGCTCAGCTGGCGAAATCTGCCGTACAGCGTCGTCGTACGCGCCGTTAGCCGGGAGATCCACGACGATGCGTCGTGGTACGAACGGAGGGGCGTACCAGAGCGGCATGCCTGCGGTCCCGGGGGGTAGGGGTAGGGGGGAAAAGGGGGGAAACACGAACCACAGGCGATTGAAGCCCAGATAGAATACCACAGATAGACGGACACCCCTACACACAGGATTGTGAACAGATACTGCATCATCAAGGAGTTTTTAGAATTTATTGACCCCAAGTGAGGTTGGAAACCCCGTGGGGGGAAAAGGGGCGGCTGGCCCCGGCCAGGTTGGCCGCCCGGTGGTAAGCCGCAGCAGCAGCCGCAGCGCCGTGCGTTACATGTGCATGTCGTACATCTCTGTCTGCGTGTGTGTGTGTGTGTGTGTGTGTGTGTTTTAATAATGTGCGCCGCGAACGGGAAATGTCAATGGTGGCACTCGACGAAGGATTTGGGACCTCATGGGTTAACGGAATTAGTTGGGTCGTCCGGTGGTTCAACCGTAACCACCCCACTCCCCGAGTTCCCCTTCCGCGTCTCCCCAGCTCTGCCGTACCCACCCCGCACTGCCGTACCCACCCCGTACTGCCGCCTCCGTCAGCGCCAACCGCATGTGGGCCCCCAGCCAGGCCCTCTGAATATGAAAGAACAAATTACTCTTCCGTTCGATAGTCACCAGGATCAGGCGGTACTGGGATAGCTGCGAGTGGGACAGGGGGAGAGACGTCGTCAGGGGGTGATGCTGTGATTTTTTTTCGTTTAGGACGGGTCTCAATTTATTCCAACCTAAGTAACAAAGCTGCTAGGTTTGGGGTGATTTATTCCTTAAATGTGAGGCGCTGGGGGTTCCTCCCCCCCCCAGACTCCCCCCGATAAGTTACAACTCCCCTCGTAGACCACTGAGTTACCGACAACAGCACCTCCATCCCAAATGCCTTCATCAGGAACATTTCCAGGCATATTTTGCTGTTTTGGTGTCTGTTCGACGTTCGAGTCATTGTGCCTTGTGCGTGTTTGGCTATGTGAGGGCTACATGCTGCTATGCCGCGTTGACTCACGGGCGTGACCTTCTTACGGCCCCTCATACCTATTCTTTGATCGCAAATACTAAGTTCTGCACACTACGGAGCAATCTGGCAGCAATGGAAGTTTTTGGCTGGAGGAATGAAAATGTACGGGTCAGCCTCAATTTATTCCTTTTTTCCAAAGGCCTCATAGTGGCCTTTAATCCTTTTTAGTAATATATTACTTTTACTTAAATAAAAAACGCTGGGGTGATGGGGGGAAAGATGAACCACGAACGAGTGAAGCTGTATGGTGATGGGGGGGCGGGAAATGTGATGTGGAAGTCAAATTTGGAACATTAAGGTGAACAGATGAGGGGGAAGACCGGATGAGGAGGTGAGGTGAGAGGATGACATGGCTGTAACCGACCGCAAGTACTACCCACAACCGATATTAACCGACTGAACCAACTGAACCAACTAAAACCAGACGGCAGCATGGGGCAGCAATCAGACATCGGCAAACGGGGTATTTCTGGTTTCGGGAACGGGTCTATTTCTGTCAATTCCAGTACAATTACTGTTACAAGGCCGCAGGATGAAAATGCGTTTTTGCAATAGCTTGACATTTGTGTCTGGCGTATGATCCTATTTCTGCAAGCCGGCCGGCTTCGGGAACTCTATTTCTGTTTTCGGGAGTTTCTTCGGTACGACCCGAAACTCCCGAAGCTTTTGCCGATGTCTGGCAGCAATCCCACTCACGATGTCGTCTTCCGCAGAAAAATCGTCGTCGTCTGGATCTGAGATCCAAAAGTCCTCGTACTCCTCTTCCACCGTGTCGTACTCCTTGGTGGACCCGCCGCCGCCGCTGCCTTGCTGCCCTTCAGCTAATCTGAACCACCAAGAAACCGAAATCAACATTCAAATTTCAAATTTAAATTTCGGTTTGGATTTGGATTACTATGCCCGAGTAGTGGCGCACTGCCTGTTTGGCGAGCTGATTTCCCCAGAAGGTTGCCGTATCCTGTATATCATATCCTGCCGTACCGTATCCTCCCATGTCGCATTAAAAACATATATATGAAAAGATTTCAAAAAGATATTTGTCCATGGGCCCTATGCGGCGTCTGGGCCTTTTGAGGCCCGGCTGATGACAGCCAAGCAGGCAAGTACGGCAGCCATCTAAGTAAGGGCAGAGGCCCCGGGCATCCAAACACGTCTGTGCAGAGTCCACCAAGCAAAGGAGCCTGGTGAGCCATGCAACCCCCAACACACCATCTCACACAGAGAAGCTCCGGCCATGCGCCGGTCATGCAGGTATTGCAATGGCATCTACCACCACCGCATGGCGATGCAGAGGTCCGCTTTCATAAAGCTGCGTCATGTATGTAAGTCTGTCATGTGACTTCCCCCCGTGGCAAGGGCCGCCAAAGGCCCAACCAGCTAGCAGCCACTCACCTCGCCGCCTCCTGCCGTTCGTACTCCTCCCACAAAGTACGGGGTGCCGTACGCAGCTGCCGCCGCAGCACCTGCTCCCCAAGTCGTATCAGCGGCTCCGTCACAGCGGAGGGCAACGACACGCTGCCGCCACCGCCACCGCTTGCCGTACCGCCGTACGACGGCCCCGAAAACATCACGGGCTGGCAGGACGGGTAGAAGGGTAGTTGGAAGCTTCCTGGTTCCGGGGGAAGGTTGCGAGACCGACGGCCCCGCCGGGTGAGGTGCGGGAACCCCGCCGCGTCGCCGTCGTCCTCACTTGCTACTGCCGTCGCTATTCCTGGTGCTGGTGGCGGTGGTGCTGCTGCTACTGCCACAGCTGCGCGTGAAGCTGGAGCAGGCCGCCGCGGCGATGACGGCGCTGGACCTTGCCTGACGGCAGCAGCAGGCCCTGCTACTGCCGTGGGATGGAGAAGTACTTGCGCCGGCTGCGGTTGTAGCTGAGGATGTAGTGCCGCCGTGTTGCTGAGGCCTCCCGGGGCTTCTTCAGGGGACCGCGAGCCGAGGCGGGGGTATGTGGAGTTCAGACGGCTGTCCTGCGGCGTTGCCGCCGCCGCCGTCGCCAACGGCGCCGCCGCCTTAGCGGCGGCAAGGTAGGGTCTCAAGGAGATGCTGAATCGGTTGATTCCGGCGGCGCCGGGTGGGGTCGCGGGCGTCGCCGCCGCCACCGGTGCCCCGCCGTACACGGCCCCATCGGCCGTAGCGCTGCGGCCGGCCCTGCTAGCGCTCGCGTGCCCTGACGGCGCCGCTGACTGTACGACAAGCTGCGGTCGCGGTTGCTGCCGCAGTGAATTCTCAAGCTGCCGCATGCCAGCTTCGACAGCGCGATGAAGCTCATCGTCCTTCCGGCTGACCAGGCTGGGCGACGGTGGTGCGGCGCTAGCGGCGCTGGCGGCGCCGCCGCCGGCCGTATCGCTCGGTCGTGCGGAGGGCAGTGTGCCTGTGAAGGCGATTGCAGAGCTTGCCTGCGTCGTTGACCCGTCCTGACCGCGACGACGAAGCGTGCTGAACAGATTTTCACGGCGACCGCTTGGCAGCGGCAGCTGCGGTGGCGGCGGCGGCCCTGGCGCCGCCGCCGCCGGGCCCTGCACCGTGGTCCCGGCGGGAGAGGAGGACAGGTGCAGCGCCGCCGGGTCGAATCCCGGGCGCTCGATGGCGTCACCCAGCGGTCCCGGCGTCATGCGGTACAAAGAGTACGTCATGTACGGCTGTCCAAACGTGTGCAGCGCCGCTGGTTGTACCACCGCCGCAGCAGCGTCGGCGGTGCCGCCAGCACGGGGCCCAGCCCACCAGTAGCCCTCATCGTACAGCTCGCCGGTACGCGGGTCAGAGCACGTCGGCAAACGCGGCGCGGCCACGTACGACTGTACGGACGGACGAGCTTCGCGCTGCTGTTGCTGTCGGTGCCAACTTCCCCACATTTCTCGGAGCTTGGGGCAAAACACAGGGGGTTGTAAACCCATCGCCGCGGGAATCGGAGTGTGGCTAACGTGGCGAAGGTCAGGGTAGTGCCCCGAGTACGGCACCGTGTACGAATTCGGGCTGAAGTATTCCGGATAATAATACCCGGGGGGAATCCGCTGGGCCATGACATCGACATGAAGTGGCCGCATGGATGCCTGATCAGGCGCTTGCTTCCCCTGTGGTGTCAGCTGCTGCTGCTGCTGATGATGATGCTGCTGCTGCTGCTGCTGCTGCAATACCTGAGTGGCGTTGTCGTACAACTGCTGCTGTTGCCGTACGACAAATGCAAGCTCCGGTGACGGCTGTAGCTGCATCTGTGGTTGGAGATGGGGTTGTGGTTGTGGCTGTAGCAACGGTGATGACGGTGCTGGCCGCGACAGCGTCTGTGCGGTGTGTTGAGAAGAAGCCATAAGCGGCTGCGGCTGTACGGCCCCAGTTTGCTGCTGCTGCTGCTGCTGCTGCTGCTGCTGAGGTCTCTGCCCTAGCCCAGCTGGTGAGCGTTGGACCGCTGCCCCACCATCCCCCGTCGCCACTTTACTGCCCCGCCCGCAACAGCCTCCACCGCCGCCGCCGCCGCTAGCGCTCACACTCACACCCGCGCCGGCAACCCCATCCCCCTTCCCAGCTGAGTCGGTAGAGGTGGTGTGGCGGGCCGTAGGCGGCTTTTGGCCGTTGCTGCGGCGGCTGCTACTGCCGCGCGTCGGCCCCGTGTCCAGTCCTGCCTTGCGAAGTTCAGCGGGGGTGATCTCTGTGAGGCTCGCCCGCGGGTAAATGGATATGGCCATAGAGCGGGTGACGGAGCCGGGCTTGCGAGGGTCATGGTTTAGGAACTCGTCGCTGTCGGCTTCGGTCTTTTCCTGCAGGTTGGGGATTGCGCAGGAATTGGCTGGTTATGTACGGTTTTGGGTTGGTGAGGTGGTGAGGTGGGAAGGGCACTCAAGCCCAGGATCAGTGCAGGCTGGTATGATTTTATATTATTTTGCTAAGTGGATTCGGTTATGATGGTTTCCGTTTTATTTTTGTTGATTGAGGGACTGGAGGAGGTACGGCAGGAGGAGGCCGATGGTGGACCCTTTCCTGTTGTTGTGCAACTAACGGATACCGACCCCTGCATTGAATCTTGCAATTTTTAAACAACGGAGAACTACGAAATACCGGCTTTTATTCGTATAATAGAATATGGCATGTTCTGTGTTGGCAGCGTTTGCGGCGTTCCTTACCAACTCGCGGATGCCGAGCCATGGCACCTCCAGCAACACCGAACCCTCGACCTTGTTGTCTTTAGTAAGCAGATACAAGCTCCAGTCGGTGACCGCTACATAGTAATACTGCTTCCCCGGAATAACTTTGCGGCTGGACGCAAGAGGAGGCAGCGGGTGAAAAGGACGCAGGGAGCCCACGGTCTCATAGTACCGGAGAGACAAGCGAGCATCCTCAGGTAGCTTCCTCAATAATGTATTACCCTCGCAGCGGATGTATGTGTGATATTGAGCTGTGTGCGCCATTTCGGGACGCCGATTATCGCACGGATGTAACCCTTTTCCATGTAGGATTACCTTCGATAATTACTACATAACTTAGGTCTTGTACTTGGCATAGCATGCTTGTCAATTTATGGAGAGGTTGCGTTGGATGTTGAGGAGGTTAACCATCTCAATCAACATGCGGGTGCGTGACATAACATCAATTTCGCCAAGGTTTTTTATTGTGAATATTCATGGAAATTTTTGCTTCGGACCCACATGCATACACTGCAAATTCTGCGACCGTTAGAGCAGGTGGTTAGAGGGTGGAAATTTCCCATGTTAACGAATGATGAAGGGCCCGATTACAATGGCCTGCAAGCCGAACCGGAGTGGAGCTGTTGCCTCTATTGATCCGGGGGCAGATGCCATTGGATGCTGACGTTGGGTGCTGAGCATTGAATTCGGAGTCGGCATGGGCTAATTTCCACGGGTGAAGCTCCCTGTCACGCAATCATGTTTGCTTGCTTGTAACTGCAGTGCACTCCAACGACATCGGCTGTTTTACCGTTGCTGCTTCCTGGTTAGGGTGCAAGTCGGTTACAAACCGTACGTCGCCGTACAACAATGGATTGCTGATCCTACTCCAGAAGCACTAAGTGCCATACATGCTGAACCACAGGTCCACCAAAAGCTCACAAAGTGCCAGCCAAAGAAAACCGCCCAGAGACATGAAAACACATGTTGCAATGTTAAATATTCAGGGAGTAGGAAAGGACACAGCATCTTGTAATCTTTTATCTTGTGCTCCTTGTTACATGGCTGAAGCAAAAGACACGTCCGCAAGCAAGGCTGCAGGATACTTCTCGCGTAACAAACCTCGCAATCCCCAGGGCCCGTGCGTGTCAGAGACAACTGCCAGGAGCTGACGAAGGGCTTTGCTTTAGGATGGTGATTATGGCCCCGGGACAATGTCTCCAGACACTCCAGCGCAGAGGGAAACCGCGTTTGGCAACTTGTCATGCACCTTGGCCATAATAGAGTGTAGGGAGCCCTCTGGCCGTAATAGAGTGTACGGGGCCCGAGATGCGCCGCCAGGAAGGAGAGGGCGGGCAAACCTGCTAGGAATTTGCAGGCATGCAAGCAACAAATCCTGTGCTTGTACACCCGTACATCCAGCATATGCAGAAGGTGCCTGGCGTGCTGTACAGTAACACCGGATGGCAACCCGTACTGAGTGAGTAGTGGTTCTACATACACCCGACGGTTGAATCCTGCACCATCTTGGAGAAATACCACGCCGCTTCCGTACGCTATGCTTTTGTTCATGCAGTTGTGTAAAATGAATTAGAAATATCACCTTGCTTCGGAAATATATATCTGATTATCGACGGACGACGGTGGGTTCTTTCGCGCCAATTCGTACCTCACTGGCCCCCTTAGCACCTTACCGTCTTGTCGTCTTGCTACAGAAATCGATTCACCTTGTGCAATGTCGCTTTTTGCAGTCAACTGAAACTGGAACTTACAGAAGCTTGAAACTGATTTTTATGGAAGCTCACTTTGCCAAGCCCGTCACCTGAAGCTAATAAACATTATAAAACAGAAAGCTTAGTATTAACATAAATTTTATGTCCAAATAATGCATTGTATTTCTGTTGTATAGAGGTGTGTTAGCTAATGCGATTGACTGGCTCATGCCAGTGATAACTCTGCAATTAGGACAGTGTGGCAATCAGCTTGGGTGCAGCTTTTTTAGTACCCTTGCCGGAGAACTCTCTGCGAATGATTACGGATTCGATGCCGTCAACGAGTACTACAGGGCTGGGCCCGATACAGCCGGCCTTTACACCGCGAGGTCGGTGCTCATCGACATGGAGCCCAAGGTGCGAAAAATATCTATTGCAGAACCAGCCCCAACGCAGCATACGCCAGCCTGTTCCCACGTGCTGCATCCACATCCACCATGTCTGCTTGATGGTGGATGAAAGATGCTTCCTCTACAGAGCATCTCCCCTGCCGCCCCAAGCTATCCGCCTAGATCCGACCTGATGCCTCCTCGGGCCCTCAGGTTGTTGCTGGTGCGCGTGCCAGCGCCGCCGCCTCTGGCAGCTGGTGGCGCTACTCCTCCTCGGGTTACCTGGTCATGCAGAGTGGATCGGGAAACAACTGGGCGCAAGGATTCCACGGGTAAGAGTACGTGGTACGGGAGATTACAGGGTACGACATGGGTACGAGGGTAGAATACCTGGGTAATACGGCGGAAGGGGGGAGAGGGGGGAAAATAGAGAGGTACGTGTGGACACCACAATGTGTTTCGTCCAAGCCGTGTGGGGGTTTGATGTGTTGGTTTCTTGTTTTTTTGTGGCGTGCCCAGGAACTGTGTACGTTGCTGCCGCAGTGTTCCATCTGCCAGTGTTACTGCTGCACGGTATGCCGAGCTAGTGGCCACGTCGCCTCAAAAAGCGCACATGCTGCCATACTCTGTCGTACTATTCCGTACAACAGGTACGGTCCACGTGTTCACGAGGCGGCCTTGGAGCTGGTACGGCGGGAGGTGGGTCAGCGAGTGAGAGTACGGCGGTTAGGGCATGGGCGCGGCGGATATGCTGGTGCGAGTGCTGGGTTGGGGTAGCCCACTGTGTGTGTATGGGGGGGAGGGAAGGACGAACCACGAACGAGTGAAGCTGCTGCCAGGGCAAGAGTGTACCAGACGTAGAACTGACCAAAAGGCGTCCTTGAAGGCGGCGACCTCGGGATGACGTAGTGAAGATGATGTCGGAAAAAAAACTACCTACCTAGCCGCCAGGACTAAAAAAGCGCGGAAAAAACAGTAGTGCCAAGCCGTAGAAAAGTAGGTATGAAAAATTAGGTGTAGAGGTGGCGGAGAAGTAGTAAAAAACTGCTGACGTGAAGCTGGAATAAAGTTTGCCACTGGCCTGTGTGTATGGGGGGGGGTGTAGTTGTGCATGGTGGGATGTGGGGGTTGGGGATGTTGTCTTTCACATCTCTCACCTTTTTGGAGACCTCACCATCACTGCTTTGGACTCTGTTCGGCACCCCAGTATTGTGGATGTCAGCAGTTGACTGCTTAGGGTTTTGCGTCGTACAATCCCCCCCGCGCGTGTGGTTCGTCTTTCCCCCGCCCGTCTCCCCGCCTCGCTTTTAGGTGGAAGCTGCCGACAGCCTAACGGGCTTCCTGCTGCTCCAAAGCATGGCGGGCGGCACTGGCGCCGGTCTGGGCACCTACGTCGCGCAGGCGCTAAGGGACGAGTACCACTCGGCATTCATCACCAATTGCTGCGTGTGGTGAGGAGGGGAATGAGGAGGACTGGTGGTACAACAGTACGACAGTACGACAGATTCCCGTGTCTGTGGTGTGTGCCCACCGTCCCGCACGCGCCTCCGCTGGTTGGTACCCCGACCCGCAGGCCGTATGAGAGCGGCGAGGTTATCGTACAGCCGTACAACACGTTGTTCACTCTGAGTCACCTGTCGGACCTCTCAGACGGGATTGTGTTGTTGGAGAACGAAGCTCTTCACCTCACATGCGCCCGGCTGATGGGGATACCCCGGCCTTCTTTTGCGGTGAGTGTGTGCGCATGTCTGGACACGCACATACATATATACATACACACACTCTCTCTCACTCCCACGTTATCGACCCCACCAGCTTGGCGATCAACCTAAGTCCTAACTTCCTCAGATCCCGAACCCCCCGCCCCCCCGCAGCCCCGGCCCGGGATACCTCCGTCACGGCCCGCGTCTGCACCGCCACTCCCCCTCCTCGCCTCCCCTCAGGACATGAACGGCATTGCAGCACGTGCCATGGCTTCAGTGCTGCTGCCGTCACGGCTGCGGGGGCCGTACGCCGGCGGCAGCTTCAGCACCCCCCCTGGGGCCTCTACCGCCAGCGGTGCTGCCAGCGGTGGTGGTGGTGGTGGTGGTGGTGGTGGGGTGCAGCTGCCCGCGTTGCGGCGGGCGGCCAGCAGCGGCACCCGAATGGCGCCCACTGACGGGTAGGGTGTTCGGGGTCGGGGGTATAAAGACCGCTGCTACCACTATTATTGATGGTGGTGGTGGTGGTACTGCTGGGCGGGTGGTACGACTGGGCGCCTGGGGGGGAGGCGGAGAGGAGGCGGGGTAAGGGAGGTTTAGGGGGAAGGACGAACCACGAACGAGTGAAGCTGCTGCCAAGGAAAGAGCGCTGCTGGGGGGGGAGGGGGGGAAGCCCCGGAGGTCATTGGAAGGGGTGTTGCGGAGCGGGGATGGGGGGATGAGGGGGAGATTGAAGGGAGAAATAGCCGAGCAGGTTGTGGTGGGTGTGGATGGGTGGTTGGGCCCGGGGGCGTAGGACGGGGGGGATCCCACCCGGGGTTTGGGGGGTTGCGCTGCTATGGTTTTATCAACTCTCCCTCTATCAGGACCGTTCTGCGCCTCTTTCCACCCCATCCCTCCATACATGCGACCCGTGCGCGGTAGGTACGGAAGTGGGAGCTACGTACCAGCAGCGGGATGCTGCCCTGCAGCCCCCAGTACGAACTCCAGTACGACATCCCCGTTGGCGGATCTGGTCACGCAGCTGTGCCCCCACCCCGCCTACCGCATGTTGACGCTGAGGGCCATTCCGCAGCTCCCACCCGCCAGCATAGACTTCACCACCTTCACCTGGCCAGCCATCCTGAAGCGCCTCAGGCAGATGCTGGTGACGGGTAAGTGGGGTTGGAGGTGGGGGTGAAGGTGGAGGAGAAGGTGGAGGTGGGGGTGAAGGTGAGGGTGAAGGTGGGGGTGGGGTAAAGCTTTGGCTGAGCGGGCCAGGGCGGGCAAGTTGCACTTTTCCTCCCCCCTCCTCTCCACCCCGCATCCCCCACAAAACGTTTTCCTGCCACTCCACATCTTTGGCAGGTATTTGCCCAAACATTCGTACCCCAATCAAATTGTACGGCAAACGCATTTCGCCTCCTCCGTCCCTCCCCTTTCCACCCCATCCCCTTCGCATCCCCCACCCTGCTTAGCTCCCCCCATCCCCACCCCCCATCTCCCCATCCCCAAACCCCCTTCCCCAGGTAGTGTCTTGGAGGAGGGTATGGACTGGAGCATCAACCCCCACAGTCCCGCGGGTGGTTCCGGAGCGGGTCCAGCAGCAGGAGGAGGAGGAGGAGGGGGAGCCCGGGGGACCGGGGCCACCTGCGGCAGCAGCCCCCGCGTCAACAGGGCGGTGGCAAATTGGCTGGTGCTCCGGGGCCAGGGGGCAGGTATGTGTTTGTGTGTGTGTGTGTGTACGGACGGGGAAAGAGGGTCTGTACAGCAGCTGAGTGTGAATGTCAGGAGGGCGGAAGGAGGGCGGTCAGGCCGTAGGGTCGTAGGGGGGTTACCCCGGGCGGTGTTAATGATGAGGGCACGTCCGGAACAAGACGCCGGGTCGGAGCGGCTCGGCAGGGGGGGGCTCGGCAGGGGGCGGGCTCGGCAGGGGGCGGGCTCGGCAGGGGGGCTGGGAGTCGTTTCCGCCGTCGGGGGGCGGAACGGCTTTGCTGCCACGCGCACAGTTCCCCCCCACCCCATTGGAATGCTGCTGACAGCGCCCACTCCTCACCCCAGGTCAGCCCCACTCGACTACGCGCCTGAGTGCGTGGGCTCGTGGGCACAGAAATGCACACAGGGTTCAGGAGCCACAACCCCAAACAATGGCCGACGGGAGAGCCGCACGCGCGAACTCACAGGAAACAGCACATTCGCATTTCGCGATAACTAAAACCCTAAACCCCCCATTCCTACTACCCACACAGGCGACGTGGACGTGGGGGAGTTTGCGGACCCCGCATTGACCTCTGCCTGGACGGTCGACCCGCTCTCAGTGTCGTACAATCCGGCCAAGTTTGGTCGCTGCCTCATGTCTGCCTCCTTGCTGAGCAATGATCGGGTGTGTGGGTTTGGGCGTGTGAGGGGGAGGGGAGGGGAGGGGAGGGGAGGCTGCAAGTGGGTGCGTTCATCACACCTGACACCACCCCTGTCTGAGTTGGGTTTTAAGGTTTCGGAGCATGCAACGAGGGGAAACGGAACCCGCGTCGCCCCACCTCCCCTGGCTCAGCCCTAAAGCCACGCGACAGCATGAATGCCGTATTCTTATATTTCCGTACTTTATCCGTGTTTGTCAGTGCTTACCCGCATCCATTAACGGGGTTCAGACAGGCTGGCTTTACTTCCCCCCGCTGCTTTCGCATGTACGATTGCCGTACCGCACTGTCGCCGTGGCTGTTGCCGTCGCCGCGGGTCATCGGGTGTTGGGAGCGCAGCGCTGCGTGGGCCCCATTGAGCGTATGCAGGAGTGCGCGTACGGCATGTTGGCGTCGCGAGCGTTCGTACACCAGTACGAGGCGTACGGCATGAGCATCTCCGACTTTACGGCATGCTTTGCCCGCATTGAGGACATTGCACAGCGCTACGTGAGGCTTTAGCCCTCTAGCTGCCCCATCCAATCGCCAGCTTAGACATCTAGCTACATATCTAGCTGCACATCTAGCTACACATCTAGCTATATCTATCTATAGTACAGTCGCTCCTAGGCCTCGTTACGTTACACGGCAAGGCTGGATGCCATCAGTGCGCTCCATTTAGGCGCCGCCAAGGCATGGGGCCGTGGCTTGGGGTTAGTGCCCGGGGGGGGGGGCTTTGTGGGACAGCGGCGAAGGGGGCGGGTGGTCCAAAACTGAGCCACGTCTGAGACGGTGTGTATGTGTACGTATGTATGTATGTATGTACGTATGTTGGCACTGTATTGACATATCGGGCGGGGCCTGCAGGGAAGATGTGCGTCTGTGTTTTGGAATGCGAGGGCTTGGGCCGGGTCCAGCAAGGGATGCTAGGGATGGGCTGTGGAACGTGTACGGGGCCCAGGAGGAAATATGCGCGTTGGGACTGGGCCCGGAGTTGGCTAAGTAGTGCGGGAGGCCGGAATGGAGAGATGAAACAGCAGCAGCAGCAGCAGGAGCCGGAAGGCTGTCGTGGTGGTCCGTGGCTGGTGCGTAACGCAGGGATTATTTGGGTTGTGCGCGGAGCTGCAGCAGTGGCATTAACAGCACTGGGTCAGATCGTTGCGCGCTCGATTTAGAAGCTAGCAATGAGGGATCCAGCCAAACGAGCGTGGCTGTCAAAGAATGCGCGCTTAAAAGGTGCGGATTCGGGGAATTGATGAAGTGCCTAACGGCCCAACGGCCTGGTTTTGCCGTATTTTTGAAGGTAACGTGGTGCGGGCTGTGGCTGTGACGATGACTATGATGACTGTCCCTTTCTAGGAATGCTGCCTAACCGGATGGTGCAAGTCGCATGTGACGTGCACGCTTGGTGAAAGCTTTTATAAACAATGGCTGGGATGGCTGAAGGTACAAGCGACTTTTATTTAAAAATGGGAATTGCTTACATAGGTTTGTAGCTATTCCGACAAAAGAGACGATTTCAGCGGAGTCGAAATGGTAAGCGTAATTGGCAGAATGGAGCATTCGTAGCAGCGTTTTAACTATCTCTGTAAATCTTGAAAAGCAGGCGGCTGGGGAAGAGCTATCTCGGTTGGAAGAACTTCTTCGGCGGCCAGATTTTGTGCTGGAGCCGTCGGTTAAGGACAGTGTTCGGCAATACATTAAGGCTGGCGGGAAGCCAGAGGTCATCTTAGAAAGCCTCTCCGAAGGTTATGTAGGTAAGATATTGTCAGAAATGCGGACCTCACTGCGCACAGGCAGCGAGTCGCGATGGATGTGCTTTAGGGCTTGCGGTGCTTTAGCTTGTGGCTGGTGTTTAAGGCACCAAAAGTCTTTGTTTATGGGAAACAATGTCGAACCACTTACAGGTGGTGTACAAATGCTCGGCAGCTGTTGAACCATAGCAGTGACCACTGGGTCGGCAATCGGCAGTCAAGCTAATTGCGTGCTGTGACACCAGCCATTGGAAGTCAGCGAAAGCGATTCATGTGCCCTGCTCAAGGATTAATTTGTTATTCTCGCTGTTCGGTCCCTGTCTACACAGGCTATGCACACATGGCTATGCTGATGGTCAAGTGGTTGGACATGGTGGACGATGAGCCCTCCACAAATCATGATGAGTTCTTTTACCTGAAGGTGTGCTTACAGGATTCTAGAAACGCCCACGTGGGGATCTGGCCTTGGGTTCACTCCGTTTCTCTCCCTATACTCTATTCCCCAATCGTGAGGTCTCAGCCCGCCTGCGCATGCCATGCCTTTAGCCGCAATAAATCATCTTCACAGCAATCGTAGCAAAACAAATTACGCATTTCCTTGCCATCTTTTGACTTGCGCTACGTCGTCGCATCATCTAACCGTCTGTGCAGGAGTTTGCGAAATCCAAGTTCGAGCCCGACAAGTTCATTAGCGTGTTTGGGTCTCAATCAACTCGCTCCCAAGGGCTGGCTTGGTTGGATGGGTTGCTGTCGGACCCGCGAGGCCGCAAGCTCATTTATGAGCTTTCGGCGTCGCATCGCAACAGCCTGCTGCTCAACTTTGCGATCCAAAAGATCATGAAGATGGTAAGGCGGCAGGGGGCATTTGAACGGATGGCCTTTTTTACGATCCATGTGGGGCTTACCGAGGGCCACCCAGTGAACTCCGCTACAGTAAAAGTAAAAACACCACGCGTATGCATGTACGTTATCCGCACCACCTGCGACGCCTACGCCTGCCACCCGGCTTCTTGTTTTAAATTTTAAATTCAAAATCAAAACACAGGGCTACCAGGACGAGGTGGCCGCTGCAGGTTCGGGCCTGGCTTCCTACTTCTCCGTCTTTCACAAGCTCTTGGAGAACAAGGTAGCGGCGCTGCTGGCGGTGGTGCGGCGGGTCGTGGAGGCGGAGGCCGCTGCCGCTGCCTCCCCTGGCTCGGGCGGCTCTAAGGCGCTGGAGACCGCTTGTGCGCAGGCGAAACGGGAGGTGGCCGCCTTGGTGAAGGAGCTCCGCGACAGCTGCGAACAGAGCCAGCACACGTACCTACATGTGCAGGCAGGTGTCCGGAGGGGATTGGAGCAAAGAACGAAGGAGACGGGCTGGAGGACGACGGGGATGGGGATAGGTAGTCCAGGGAGATGCTGTAAAGCTTGGTTATGTAGATCAGCCAAGAGACCACTTAGACGGTCTATGTAACAGCGTCCGGTATCGCCGATTTAAATTCGATATAGTAACTTAAACCTTAGTAGCTGGTGTAAACCTCCCCCCCACGGCCCCTCGCAAGGTGGGAATTCTTACAGCGTCTGCATATGATTTCCCTCTTTCCCCTCCTCCCCTGGCAGCGGCTTCACTCGCCAGTGGTTCGTCTTCTTTTCCCCCTCTCTTCTCCTGGACTACCCGTCTATCTTTGGTATATCTGCTCCATCGCCAGTGGTTGGTTCGCCTTAACCCCCCTTCGCACCAAAGGCTCCATGTTGCCAAGTAAAACACGTTTTCCTCGTTTCCCCCCTTTCAGCACATTCTGCACTACCTGGGCTGCCAGACGGGCGGCGAGGCACTGCTGGCGGCGGCCCAGCAGCTGGAGGCGGAGGTGGCGGCGAGCGGCCCGTCACTGCCGGTGTGGAACATGCAGGTACGACAATACCATGCGTACTTGCCGTACATGTTCCGTACACACAACACTTTCGTGTTGTGTCGTGTGTTTTACATCGTGTCTGGCAAGCCCTGAGTCCCATCCCGTACTGTTGTACGGTTGTCGTACACGATGCCCCGACTACTTCCAGAAGCTCTACGCGCCCCCGGGCAGTTCGGCGGCACAGGTGGAGGCTTGTAACCTGATCGGCCGGGTGCTGCAGGCGGGGCTGGAAGGGCCCGTACCCTCCGATGTGCTTAGACTGCATGGCCTGTACGGCAGCAGCAGCAACAACAGCGGCAGCAGCAGCGCGGCTGAGGCAGCCGGCGGCGGCGGTGGCGGCGGCGCGAGGGGAAGTGGTGGCGGTGCTGGTACTGGTACTGCTAATACTGGCGCTGTTGGCTTATCCACGGCGCCGCTGCAACACCCGAGGCTGGTGCAGGCGCTACTCGCTTGTCAGTAACATGGGGGGGTGTTGAACTCATCCAATTGTAGTGAACTGAACGGTGCACTGAGTCTTGGGAAGTGGAGGCGTTGATTTGGCTGTTAGCCGATTATGTGGTATTTGGGGCTGGAGGGCTGTCTGGCGCAGCCGCCAGGGTTGGCTTCACTAACCTTTTGATGTTTACCTGCTCACCGCTAATGTGCTCAGATACACATTATCACCCACCCACCCACCCACCCCCACCCACACGCACCTTGCCGCCGTCAGGCATCTTCAACCCCAGCCGCGGCCCCCCTGGGGACCTCCTCACTGCATGCGGGGACCTGCTGGCGAGGGCTACCTGCGTCCGACCCGAGACCCCACTACCCGTCAAGACTGCCGCAGGGGCAGAGTCCACACCGCCGGCACACCAACAGTGCGGAGGGGGGTCACACAGACCGTGCTCCGGGGATCCCGATGTGGGTTTTGCTGCTACTGCCGGGACGGCGGCTGGGGCTGCAGCTGGCAGGGGCAGCGGAGGAGGAGGAGGAGGCGGCGGCGGCGGAGGGGGGCGTTACGCAGCGGGGCCCGGAGAGGAGGCGCAACGGATAGCTGAGACAACTCGCGCGATTCATTGGGCGGTGGGGCTGTTGTCGCGACCTCACGGCAGGTTTTCGGAGGAGGACCTCCGGATGGCGCCGCAGGTAGGTACGTGTGTGTGCGTATATATGTATGTGTATGTATGTATGTAAGTGTATGTATCTATGTGTATGCGTGTGGGTATGTATGCTTGTGTATTTGTTACATATCGATCCGGGCCTGACACTGGCCAGGGGCACCTAACCCGGTACCCCAACGGGAATGAGCGACCGCTGAAGCACTCTCCCCCTAGCGGGAGGAGAGGGGTGTGAGGGGCCTCTATGACCTCCTCCTGTTCAACCGACGGCGTGCACACCCCCGCGTTTCCCCTTTTCGTCATGAGGAGAGAGCGTGGTGGCGATCAAGGCCCTCAAACAACCAACTTCAGCACGCGCTGCAGCACAGTTCCGCCAACACAGCCTGCGCCTTGAGCAGGCGTGTGTGTATATACACACAAACACACGCAACACCCTTGACATGCGCACTAACACTCGTCCTCGCGTAAATGCGCATACATGTGTGTGTGTGTGCGTGGGCCACGTGTACTGCAGCTGTACCGGATGCCGGTGGTAGCCTACGGCCTCCTGCACGCCGTGTCGTGTCAGCTGGGCTCCCCCGCCTTCTACGATGACGCCGTGGCGGCTGCAGCGGCGGTGCCGTCCCTGCTGCGGATATCTCTCTGGGTGGCGGAGTGGCAGCCGCACCTCACGCCCCGGGTAATAGGCAAAGGGGAGGAGGGTTTTGCGGCCCCGGTGGGGCAGTCTCGGTGTTATAGGCGAAGGGGGGGAGTGGGGTCGAGTGCGGGTTTGGTTTCGGAGGATGTGAGGCTGGTTAGGGTTTGTCAAGGATGTATGGATCTTGGGGTGGCGCCAGGCTCGGTCCAATCCACAGTGGGACGCTGGGAGGAGAGCCCCTTTCCAGGAGACCCCTCCCCCCGTCTGCATTGCGGCAGCAGCGGCAGTAGCAGTTGCTGGCCGCTGCTGAGGAGCGCTGTTGAGGGGAGAGTTCCGATTATTCCACGGATTGACCTCTCTCTTCCAGGTTGGTGGCATGGACCCGGAAACTGCCGTACTCGCCGTTGATCTCCGTTCTCTCCACACACACAGACACACAAACACAGAGACACACACACAGACGCACATACATACACATGCAGGTCAGGCACTTCTGTTAAGGCACGGACCATTGCCCCCGGAAGATCCCAGGATCAAGACCTGTCAGGGTCGAAAATCCTTCCGATGGTGGAGGGTAAAGTGCCCCTAGTTGATGGACGGTGGTGACCTGGGATAAAGTTGTCTTGCGAGCTGACCAGGAATGGAGTTGAGCAGCCGTCGATTCGGCAGATTCCGTTGGATGTCGGTGGTGTGTGCAGAACTGAGCGATCCACTGAGAAGTTGACTATAGTGACTAGATGAGGGTGCCCCGACATACCTATTTCCCCCCCCCAAGGGCACCCTCAGTGCACCGGTTCACCGATCAGCAAGCGGGCGACACACCCCACCCAAAGCTACGGCAGTTCATTTTTGGCTGGACTCCTTCCTCCATGTGGCTCCTACCCGCCCCCAACCCCTTAGACCCCTCATCCCGCCCCGTAGGTTCTCTCCTCGTGGTCCGTGGCGCTGACTGAGCTGCACCGTGCGGGTCTGGGGGAGCTCTGTCGCCTCATGCTGGACGGGTGTGTGGCGCTCATGAAGCTGCAGGCGGTTGCTGCTGCAGGGCCCGGGGGCGGCGGCGGCGGCGGCGGCAGCAGCAGCAGCACAGCCGGGCGGTCGGGCAATGGTCCCGGCAATGGTCCCGGCAATGCAGTGCGGGCGGTGGTGGACCTGGTGGAGGCGTGGAGCCGTCAGGGGGCTGCAGACCCGATGCTGCTGAGGTACTTCGTGCTCCAGGTAGAGGGGGCCCGGGGGGATAGGGGCGGCAGTGAAGGGCGGTGTAAGGGGCTGGGCTGGGCGGGGGAGTGGGTGGGTGGGTAGGTGGCAAGCGGATCGTAGGAGTGCTGCCATTTGAGGACAGGCGGCAGGGCGGCAGGCGGCCAGCCGCGGCGACGATGGGCTTGTCGTCGTCGTACCGCACGCAGTTGGTAGTTGGCAGTTGGCAGGTACAGGGTGTTCAGGGACTTCTATCCCCGTGACCCCTAGCCCCACCTCCTCGCCCCCCTCTTCAATTCCTGTCCTTCATCCCGTTTTTTTGAACTCTTGCAATTGTTGCTTGGGCTTTGACGTTCCCGCCCTACCCCGCATGCTGCCATGCTGGGTTCGACCTCTGGCCCGTGACCGACCGGCGTCCTTATTGTAAAAGGTTCTGGGTTTTGCGAGTCCGCCCTATTCACCGGACTTTTGCAGCGCGCTGCTGCGGCTGCTCCTGGCGGCCGGTGTCCGTGCTAGCAACGTGCGCAACGAGGCGGCGGCGGCGCTCCTTCGTGAGTTCGCAGCGGCGGCGGAGGGCCTTCTCAGCTCGGGCAGCTTCAACCCACCGCTGACGGCTCGGGAGCAGCATTTGCTTGCGGAGCTGGCGGCGGCGGGTGGCGGGGCAGGGACGGGAGGCGCGGCGGGGGCGGCGCCTGGGCAGCAGCGGGCAGGTGGTTGAGCGGCGCGTGAGGACGAATGGGACGACGGGGGGGGCAGCGGTATGGACAGCAGTGGCTTCGCGCGCTCGGACATGCCGAAAAGCGTTTATAGTCACAGGCTAGCTATGAGACTGCATTCATGTATCATCGAACTGATGGTAATCACTAGTCTCAGGGACTGTAAGACACCGCTGGAGTAACAACACGAGTCAATGCGGATGCTCATCACAAGCGTGTCACTCTGAGAATCGATGCTGACAGACACGCAGAAGGGCTTAAAGACTAGCCGGGTTCAAGATCCGAAACGTTTGCAACGCACACTCGTCAGCCTGTTGGCCAATCCCAGGTCATAGGCTCTGTATGACTGTCTGTCAATCTCCGGGTTCTTGGCGGAGTCTATCTGTCCGCCAATCCCATGTCTCTCGACACATCTAGTCTCACCGGAACTTTCGGAGTACGGAACACCCGCGGACCCAGGGTACGAGGACACCCGCGGACCCAGGGTCCATCCGTTGTACCCGTTGCAGAAATTCATCATCGCTGGTACGGCAGCCGTACGGCAGGGTTCAGAAATTCCCCCCAAAAGGCAGGTTTGCGCAATAATTGGGCGCAACAAGACAACTGTGGCTTTAACAGCGATGGTGTAACGTAGTAAGTTTGGTACATCGGCCCGCAGACACTCTTTCCTCGGCTTTTACCAAAAAAATTTCCATACAGTTATTCGACCCTGGCACCAGTACCCGTGACAGTTATTCAGGGTTTACCGACCTCTGTTGGGTAGTAAGACGACCTTGTTGCGGTGTTGGGTTGTCCGGTTTCCCAGATGCGGGGATCCGGTTTGGGTTGTGCCCCCATCCGTGCGAATGCTGGAGTGCAACGCTGTGCGCCCCAGACTGGCATCAGACTGCCACTAGCTCAGACTTGCTTCTCATTGTAAGTCAGAGATCTCTTTCCTTGCCCATCCCACACGGTTTTGTACCCCAATAGACATGCTCGCATGTCTGGGTATTTTGTTGCAGCACCTTAGTACGGAACACCCGCGGACCCAGGGTACGAGCGGGAATCCTAAGGTGCTGCAACAAAA